CCGCAAGGCGCGGCGGCGCGGCGCGGGGCGGGGCGTGGCGGGGCGTGGCGGGCGTGGTGGCGATCACGTTCCGATCATGTCTGCGTAAGGTTCATCGGGAATCGGGGCGCGGTGCGGGGCCATCGTGGTCGCCTCGTGCTGCCTGGCCTAAATAGCGCAAGTCAAGGTGGCGTCCTCGGTGCTCTCATTCCGAACAACAGCGCCTCTCTCTGTCCCTCTCGCGCCCCTCGCCGCGGCGCGCCGCGGGTCGCCCCGTGCACCGAGTGCGAGAGGGACAGGCACTGTTGGGGATGCGTCGGCAGGCCTGGCCAATGGCAGCCAGCGGGCAGGCGGTGGGGAGGCAGGGCAAGCGGCGAGGCACGCAGTGCACTCGCTGCCACATCCGGGCGTGACCCCGTGACGGTGTGGCGGCCCGTGACGCGGCGGTCACGTAGCGGCCTGGCCCAGGCCTGGCCACTGGCGAGGCTTCGTGGCGTGGCGTGGCGCCGATGGTGGATTCCACTGCCGCTGTGCCGCGCCGCGCCACACTGGTCACGCCCCTGCGGCCCTGCGGGAGCCACGCCCCCTCGGCCCCCGCGCCCCCGCGCCCCGCCCGGTGCGACAAGGTGCCACTTGGCGGTACTCGACGCGGAGCACGGCGCTTGACGACTGACCCCTCGCTGCGCCTCGCAGCAGACTGATTCTGAGAGTCGTTTTCGTCGCTCTGTCTCTCTCGCACTCGTGGGGCGTCCTGTACAGGTGCGAGAGTGACAGAGCGACGCAAACGACTCTCGGAATCAGTCTACGTACTGGGCGGCCTGGGTAAGACAAAGACGGACTCGCGAACAACACCTTGCGACACGATAGCGCAGTGAGCTGGCCGCCCGTAGGGGCCCCGGCACACCAAGAATGTGCCATATCTGCTGAGCGGCCCGGCCGCGGACAAAGGGCCAGAGGGCCCCCCGAGGGGCACCCGAGGGGCGACCCGCGTCGCACATTTCGGTCAGCGAACTTGAAATAAACGCGGTTCAGCCCAGGCAGCCCAGGAGCTCCCAGGATTCAAGCGCCTCGCGACACTCGATATCTAATCGAACAGCTGTATACAGTGCTTCGCCACTCTGTCTCTCTCGCACCCATGCGCCGTTCCGTTGGAGTGCGACGAAGACAGCGCCCACTGGAGAGGGATTGACGCACGGACGGAGATCGGCCAGAAAACGCCCAGCCCTCCGTCAGGCGTCCTGGGGGGCTTGGCGGGGCTGGCAGGGCCGGCGGCGCTGGGAGCCCCCTACCTTCAAAGCACGCAAAGCCCAAGGGAAGCCCAAGGGATGTCCAAGAGAAGTCCCTGGGAAATGCAAGGGAAGTCCTAGGGAAGCCCCAGGGAAGCCCAAGGGAAGTTCAAGAGAAGTCCCTGGGAAGTGCAAGGGAAGTGCAAGGGATGTCCAAGGGAAGTCCAAATCCGAGCGAAGTCAAAGGGCCCCGGCAAAGGCCACCGCTCCTAATTTCTTTCTTTGTTCCAGAGAGTCGTTCCGTCGCTCCGTCTCTCTCTCACACACCCCGTCGTACGCGACGCCCCACGAGCGCGACAGAGACGGAGCGTCTTTCTTCGGGCTCTCTGGCTGCCTCGGCGAGATAATGAAGGGTCGACTGCAGCGCGGCAGCAGTGCCGAAAGGGAGAAAGTAAACAGAATGAGTCTTCGTTCACTCGGGTGACACCCTGGGGTGCCACCGAGGGTGTTCTACCACCGACAGTGTGTCACCGAGGCTGTGCTGACACCGAGGGTGTGCTGACACCGAGGGTGTGCTGACACCGAGGGTTTGCCCCAGGGGTGCGATCCGAAGGTGTGCAAGCCACCGAAGGTTTGTTCTGACACCGAGGGTGTGCTGACACCGAGGGTGTGCTGACACCGAGAGTGTGCTGCCACCGAGGGTGCCTGTTCGTCGGAGTTGTGGCTGACTAGGGAAAAGGGTCGACCCGAGCGTCTGACAAGGCGAGGGTGTCTTGTCACCGAGGGTGGTGTGCACCGGGTGCTCTCCACCGGCGGTGTACGGCGGTGCCCGAGGCGGCTGCACCGAGGGTGTGCTGACCCCGAGGCGGGCTGAGAGGCGTGCGTGCCCGAGGGTGAGCTGCACCAGGGTCGTCTGCCACCGGGTGCGACCCGTGGGTGTGCTACCACCGAGGGTGCTGCCACCGAGGGTGTGCCACGAGGTTGCTGCACCGAGGGTGTGCTGACACCGAGGGTGTGCTGACCACCGAGGCTGTGCTCCCCATGCACACCGGGGGGCTACACCGAGGTGTGCTGACACCGAGGGTGTGCTGCCACCGAGGGTGTGCTGACACCGAGGGTGTGCTGCCACCGAGGGTGTGCTGACACCGAGGGTGTGCTGCCACCGAGGGTGTGCTGCCACCGAGGGTGTGCTGACACCGAGGGTGCCATCCCGCACGTCGTGCCCGTCGTGGCCCGACGACGAGCTCCCTCAATCGCCCGCCGGGTTACGCCGACTTGACCCCAACAACGCCGTTTGGCCGGTGGCTGGCTGGGCCGGCTGGCGACGGTGGGGGCGGCGAGGGCGACGACCGAAAAAGGTCGAGTGGGCTCCAAGGCCACCGGACGGTCAAGATGCAGTCAAGAGAAAAATAAATTAACACCAATTTGATCAATTTTCTGCTTAGCTTGAACTGGGCGAAGGATGGCGTTTAGCAGCCAAGGGTTTGGCTGCTTTGTTTTGTAAGCTTGCGATGGAATTTATTGCAAATGGTGAGGGATTTTGTTTAAATTGTAGTCAAAGGAATCCCTCGCAAATTCAAAGCAGTTCATCCCTCCCCTCGTCAAGTTTCGAGCGGGCGGGCCGGCTTGGGTCAAAATATAAATTAAGTGATAGTGACTTCGAGACAGGCATCAATACCAACTCGAACATCGCTAGGCTGCTTCAAAATCGAAAGAAATGGGTGGGGGGATTCACTGTGGTCCTTTTTCAAGGCATGATATGATGAGATTTTCTTACAGTGCATCACCGTGCTGTGCCTATATCTCTACCTCGTGTTCCTTTTTTCCGAAGTCTTATCGAGCAGCAAAGAAAGGTCATAAATGTATGTTTTCCAACGGCAAAGTTACAACGGCCTTTCACTCTCACGTCCCAGGTGTAATTGCTCCAGCGTTTTGCGAGACGGTGTGCCCGCGTCCCTCGCTAGCCTCCCAGTCTCAGCCCGACTCCAGTTTCTCCGAGTTTCTCGCTCTGCCGCGGTGCCTCGACGCGTGAGAGCTCGGCGGGAACCTTCTACAATTTGCAGGCACGGTTTAAGGGGGCAAGGGGGGGGAGGCAGTCCCCCCCCCCCTCCTGTCAGATTTCGTGGTAGTATCAAAGTGGAAAACCCTGTATTTCAAAAGAAAATGGGACATTGGGCGTCCCTTGTTAAGTACCCGGCAGTATTTCTGTATCTGTTGTTATTGCAGTGTAAAGGGGGTGTTCTTTTGCAGGGTGATTTTTGTTCCTGCTTTTGACAGAATATTGGCAGTTAATATTTTAGGAGAGAGACAAGTTACAGGTTTCTTCCCAGAGTATGTACATTTTAATAATGAACGAAAAATATACATTTCCCCGAATTAATACAAAATTAACAAATATAACAAAAAAAAGATTCAGTCTTGTCACAGATTCTAACACCAAAAACATGAATGAGTATTTGCTTTTCAGTATAAAAATATATATAGTAGTTTTTCCGTTAAATTGATTCATTATTTACAGTATGGACAGATTAACTACTGAATCTAATGAAACACGGCGATTGTGAGGAAGCAAAAATAAATAAATAAGCACGATAACCTAACAATGCGTGTCGTAATAACATAATAGAATGGATAATAAAAAAAAATAATTAAATATATGCAGAACACTATTCAAACTATGTACACGTCCACACACCACAACGTTGCTGGCTGCAACGACTGAACAATTCTCTCGAGAGCTCTCAGGCCATGAGGACCTTTCAGTCGGGCCCACTGATTCCAATCCTACACGCACATCCAGGCCGTTGATGGCCACAAAAATTTCGACATCTCCGTTAGTAACGGGCGGCGCGACGGCCACTGTACTATCATTTTATTTTTCGACTTTGGAATGTCTTTGTGGATGCAAAAAGTGATAAGGCATCACGTGGCGGGCGTGAAGACTTGTTCAGGCACATTTGACCCCTGCCTTTTTTCCCTTTTACATACGTATCTTACTTTGGACTCATTACATCACGGCCAGCCGGCCAGCCTGACAGTTTGACCTCGCACAGTGGGCCTGCAGGCTGCACGCCGTGCCGCCGCTGGAAAGTCTGCTGCGCTGACCGCGAGATGGCCGCGAGCTGACGCGAGCTGACGCGGCGCGCCCCGATATCACGCACGGGGCGGCTGACAAGCGCTGACAAGCGGCCAGCACTGCCACGCTGACAAGAGCGGGGCGAGCCGACACTGCCAGAGACAGCAGCACACGCGGAGCGGGCGCCTTTTGGCCATTCGAAAAAGACCAATCCCATGCAGTACGCTCAGGCGAGCCGGGACGAACAAGAAAAGATGGACATGCAAGATTATTACGGGGAGAAAAATCGGCATTGAGGACACATTGCAAGATAACACTTAAGAGCGTCTACATACGTCACTAATGAACATTAGTCTTTTAACTCCCTTCCCCAACATAAAGCAAGCAAAACGGAACTGCCGCTATCACAATGATTCTGTTTTCATATTGACGTGATATCCCTCTGCAAACACGGGGTTGGGTGGACTCATTGGAGCGGTTCAAAAGTCGACCGATGACAACAAGCGCTGCCCTCAAGATGGCGGCCAGTCAACGCGGTCGGCACACGCACGGCGGGGCGGGGCGCGGCGGGGCTGTCATGGACGGATGACTAGGTGGCACTCGTAATACTGGCCCGGCTGTTCGCGGGCAAGGCAAGGCAAGGCCGCGCGCAGGGGGCGGCTGCACGGGGCGGCTGCACGGGGCGATGCTGCGCGGCTCGGCGCGGCTCGGCGCGGCCCTCACTGCGCGGGGGCGGCCGCTGTGCGCTGGCAGGCGCTGCCGCGGCCCTGCAGGAAGCCCAGCAGGTGGCGGGCGGGCAGCTGCAGGTGGTAGTAGGCGCAGTAGGGCAGCGGGTCCCAGAACACGAAGAGCGCCTCCCGCTTGTCCAGCACCGTGCCGATGAGCTTGCTGACGGCCTCCACGCTGGGCCGCTTGAGCGTGTCCAGCACGGCCTCGTGCATCCAGTAGCGGCCCGCGCCCGACACCAGCGGCCCGGACGCCTGGCGGCAGAAGTGGCGGCAGGGCTTGATGACGATGCGGGGGTGCACGGACGTGTGGCACAGGTAGGGCAGCGAGACGCCCACGCGGCAGCCCAGCGGCAGCAGCGCGTTGCCGCCGGCCGGCCGCACCAGGCGGAAGCGGAAGTGGCCGGTGACGGGCACGCGCGCGAAGAAGGCCTCCAGCCAGCGCGTCACGTCCTCGCTCTCCACGGGCACCAGGCCCTGCTCCAGGCGGCACGTCACGTTGGCCACGACCTGGCCGCCCTTGACGGTGGTGCAGGTGAGGAAGTGCTCGCCCACTACGTCCTGCACCACGACCCAGGGCCGGTGCTCGGCCAGCGCGGGCGTGATGGCGTGCGCGATGGCGCGGAACTCGTGCCTGCTGGTGGGCAGCGCCAGCTTGACGCGCTCGCGGCACCCGTCCAGCCCCGCCAGCTGCAGGAAGAAGCGCGCCGAGCGCAGCACGCCCGCCTCGTACAGGCGCAGCACGTCCTCGCGGGAGTGCACCGGGTAGAAGGGTGGTGTGGCCAGGCCGCGCGCGCGGCACCGCCGCAGCACCTCCAGCGTGTCGTCCAGCCCCAGCGTCTGCTCCAGCCCCGGGCAGAACACGGAGCAGCCCAGCAGCTCCAGGTCGGGCTTGGCCAGGGCGTCATAGTAGGCGGGCGAGCTGGAGCACACGGGCAGGTAGAACTCGGCCTCCTCGCGCACGGCGATGTCGCACAGCGCGCGCACGTACTCGTAGGGCGCGTCGGCGGACGGCGGCGGCACGGTGTAGAAGCGGTGCACGGCCGTCGAGAAGCGCGCCAGCCCGAACAGCCCGTCCACCTCGCACACCACGACGCGCGCGCCGGCCGAGTGGAAGTTGCGCGCCAGGTGCAGCGCCTGCACGGACGAGCCGCCAGAGATGAGCACGGTGCGCTTGCGGCGCGCGCGCTCCGCCGCGGGGGTGGACAGGCGAGACAGCGCGCCCTTGACCAGCGCCAGCGGCAGCTGCACCGCCTTCCAGAAGAGCCACAGCCAGGCCGACAGCCAGAGCGTGGGGCCGGCCAGCAGCAGCTGGCTCCACGACAGGTACACGAGCGCGGCCAGCAGGTTGCGCGTGAAGCGCAGCAGGAAGGCTGGGTACCAGCCGATGAGGTGCGCCAGCAGCCCGCCGGACGGGTCCTCGACCGGCAGGCCGACCGGCAAGCCGCTCGTGCGGTGGCTGTGCGGCGGCGGCGGCGACGCCTGCTCGCGGGGGTAGGCCAGCACGGTGGAGCTGGACATGGAGCGGCGCAGGCGCGGAGGCGGGGACGTGGACGGCGGCGACGTGGACGGCGGGGACCGCGACGCGGGGGAGCATGGTGACGACCCAGACGGCGGCGACCCGGCGGGCGACCCGGCGGTCGACCCGGGCCACAGCTTGGACAGGCTCTCGTTGGCGCACGCGGGCATGGCGGCAGCGGGACTGGCGTGGCCGCGGACGAGGGCCGACGGCCACCCCGGCGAGACAAGCGGACAAGCGCGCACTCTGGACCGCACCGCCTCCCCGCCCGCCCCTGCTATCTTATCTCCTGGACAGAGCCGGCCAGGCCGGCCTCTAGGCCCGGCGCGGCGCGCGCTGCCACGCCGCCACCAACGAGTGCACGCGCAGCGATGCGAGCGATGCGCAGGCGCATCTACACAGGCAGCACCGGGCAGCACCCCTCGCAAGCAAGCCGCGTCCAACCGCGTCACGGCGTGCCTGCCACGGTCGCAGCCTGCCCCTCAAAATTGGGGTTCAAGCCAAACCTCTTCAAGTCGTGGTTTTTCTCCAAAAATATGACGAAAGTTAATCATATCTTGACTGATAAACTTTTTCCGTACCTTGTTTTTTGGCTTTTAACAACCTTTTGGCTTGTTGATAAGCCCACAAACAAAGTCAGGAACATCGGAGGGGATCGCTGGAAGAGGCGTTCCATCTAGTTTCATTTTGCCCAATGGGGATCAGCTTTGATCCTGCGGGCCCAGCCCCTCCAGCACGCGCAGCGACGCGCACTGGAGGGCCCCACGCCCCGCTGCCCCGCTCTACGCGGGTATACGCGGGGAGGGCGCGGTGGCCGCGCACCGGCCGGCGCGTGGTACGGCGGCTCCACCAGCCCCCCTCCCACAACCCCTCCCCCAACCCCTCACCAACCCCCACCCTCCGAGAGGGCAGAAGGGGGTGAGGGGGAGGTCCGCAGACAAGGCACATTCGTTTGATCAAGTTGTTTCATTGCAAATGCCCGTTTCTTTTAAACGGCTCACCCGGTCCCGGAGATCCGAAATCGTATTATGCGTCCCACCCCATGTCTTTCATCAGAGGCAAGAGTAAGATAACAAAAGGAGAATGTTCTGCGTCGCACGGACTACACGAGTCGACCCGCAACAAAAGGGGGAAGAGGACGATACTGGGTCCATGGCTGAGATAGAGTGGAGTTTTCTCACTTTGTGTCAAGGCAGCAGAGGGACTGGCCAGAATCAAAGAGTTGGGGACACTCCATGACATGACAGACAACACCATGATGCCTAGGACACCTTCAAAGATGTCCACAATTGCAGCTATAAGGCTCAAAGTAGACTGGCCATGAGTGGCAAACCTGTTTGATAAATAACTTACGTAAGTTAAGTCCTACCCTCTTATACTAAAAGAAAAGAAAAAAAAGAAAAAAGAGCCAAACAAAGAAAAATTTGATTTCTCTTTAGAAACGAAAATACTGTCACCTTCGCTAGCCTTACGTGACGCGTCATTTCACATTAGAGATGTAAGAAACCATGAGATTAATTTTGAGAACTTCGAAAGCTTTTCAAACCCATACGGTATTCAATTATAAGACTACTCCAAAGAACACAAAGCACTATTGCGACATCATTTGTGGTCAATTTGGCCACTACGAGTCGAAATTTTGACAGCAACAACCCATCATTTTGACATCAGTTAGACTGCCTATGACTGTTTGGTGAGTGATTTTGGAACAAAGACCTTATCCAATAAGTCATGTAACCAGAATTACCCAGGTCACTCAAACTTCAGTGATTGAAACTTAGCATTAATAAAGATTTTGAGATTGAATCGTGACGTAAGTATATGTCATGACTACATCGTGACATCTGAAATACGCTGATATGATGAACCGGTAACGTATACAGGTGGCGATGTCATGTGTCATGTGCCATAGAAACGTCTCTGACACGAAATTCAAGAAGTATGACTCACCGAAACGTCTATAACTCGATGCAGACAATTCAGCAACTTCCCACGGTTCAACTGCATGAATTTTCATTCGTTGTTTCCAGAGCACAGAGACTGATTCTTTCTTTCATTCGTTTTGTTTACATCACAACAAACATGTGAGTGTATGTACAGAGCGGTTATTTCCACTCCGACTGCGGCGGTGTCTTCTTACGTCCTGCGGATACTGGCAGACGCCAACTAAACAAGTGACACTCGAAAACAACGTCCGATCTGTTGTGATGCGAATTCAAATTTAGTTCTTCCAAATTGTAAACGGCTGGCCGATTGCAGGCAATCGTTGATTCTGATCCTCTTTGTGTTGCAAGTCGTGCTCTCGCCGGCTGTACTTAATTTGTCGGTTCGTCTCTAGAATTTACCATGGCAGACAGAAACAGAAGAAAATCATCCGTAAGTAACGATATAGGGCTCTATGTTTGGTTAGTCAGTGCTTCAAACAGTTGATGTAAACATTAATGATCCTCTCACTTTCACTTTCTACATTATTCCGAAAACAAATCATTTTTATCCTTACTTCTTATTTTAAGCTGTAAATAACGAGGTTTCATTGTGTCAGTGCAATGCTTGCTATAGCTTTCCCTGTTGTCTGAAGTCCTTTTTAGTCTGTTATTTTCTCCGTTTAATTGTTTATCGATATGCTTCATTTGTTCTCCACAGATTCTAAAGCTGCCAAAATCTAATGCTCGAGCCCCATTGCAAGATGTGAACACGTTGGAAGTTAAGACCACCCTGGATGATGATCTTACCTCGCATACTGCACTTGCACGGCGAAGAGTAAGCTTCGCCGGGAAAAATTTTGTCAAGTAAGAGATTGTTTCAACACCCTTCCCTTCATAAACTTACTTTAAACATTTAATCACTTAGAAACTTTGTTGCTTCTGTTTTCAGAGAGTTCTGCTCCGAAGCTGATATAGTGTCAGTTTATCATGCTCCAGAATATGAGGAATTGCTCGCCTCTGCTGAATCGTCAGGATTGGTGACCAGTGATAGTTCAAATACACACTCTAGCACCACAATTAGTGAAAATAACAGCACTTTTGGATCAAGAGCACAACTTTCAGGTATTTGCATATTAAGTTAAGAAATAGTTTCACTTCCATTAGCTTTAAATTTGTTTCTGAACTGAGTAGTCTTCTTCAGGTATAAGGTCCCATCAGGTATAATCCCATCAAGCATAATTCTCATCACATATAACGCATAAATAATTTTTGTTGATTAACACGAAATCTCCTCAGGTATAATTCTTAACAGATATAACCGATATCTTATAATAAATACAGGCGAAGCATAAGATATAATTCTGTTCACATATAACTCCCTTCAGGAATAATGTCATCAAATATAATTCTCCTCAAATATAATTCCCATCAGGCATAATACACAATTTTGCCAGCTTCAGTATGGATCTTCATTGATGGTACATTTTCCGTCCGTCCTGAGAAACCATCTAGTAGGCAGGTGTTGGTCATTTCAGCCCTCCACCAAAACATGGTGAGCACACTGTTTGCAGCTGCAAGCACTCAAAAAGTTTACAGGGCTTTCTTGTGTACTTTGCGATTTAAAGTACGGTATAGCATTGATACCTAGAGTTTTTTTGGCCCTTCGTTTCAGTTGTTCCCAGTTTGCTTTGCCTTGATGGTAACCGAAGCGGAGGTGGCGTACCAATACTTGTACTTTGATTCCTTCCTTGGCCAAGGTTCCACTATTGCTTCGCTTTCTGAATGCACACACCTAGCAAGGTGTCACGGTTGACCAATCTAAATTGGATCGCTCCTCAGAGCCAAATTTATTGTGAAATATAATATAAATTTAAAAACATTAAAGTTATATCTGTTGGGAATTATACTTGATGCAAATTATACCTGATGAAACCAAAAATTAATCCATTATACCTGTTGAGAATTATGCGTGTTGCCAATTATACCTGAAGAACATTATACCTGATGGGATTATACCTGATGGGACCTTATACCTGTTGAAGTTCCCCCTTCTGAACTATTTATTTATTTTTATTTTTTATATTTTTTTTTATTTTCTCCTAGCCTCTAAATCAGTGAGCATCCAAGATGATTATGACCCTTGTGATGAAATCATGCTACAATTTAAAGGAAAAAAGGGACCTCAGACTCAGGCCCAGAAACCTTCTGGTAAAACAAGACTCAGTTTTGGTGATATTTGCATTCCAAAGTTTGAATCAGAAGATGCTCCACCTCCCGCTGTTGAGACATCTACAAGAAACATAAAAACTTGTTCATCTCACAAGAAGGCGGATGCTCAAGAAAATTATTTGATGGCTGGAACTAAAACTTCGAATCCTATTTTGGGAGCACATTTGTGTGTCAGGAGCAAAGTGTTCAATTTGCTTCTCAAACTATCAATCATTGTGTCCAAGAGCACCAAACTGTCAATAAAATAGACAGAACCGAGCTTCGAAGTGTCCTCATTGGTTCTGGAGAAGAAAGAAAACCAGAAGTCAAGAGGTTTTTATTTGAAGGAGGAGTAGCACAATCAGAATATGAAGATACTTCGCCTTCTTTGGTGGGATCATCAGTTCCGACCCCAACAATGGAAAACTCTGTGTTTGTGAGCCAAACAAATCTCGCTCATTCTGCATCAGAAGCACCTAAAATAGGCATTGAGCATATGAACAATGTGGACTGTGGCCTTGGTGATACTACCCAATGCATGAATGAATCTATGGATTTCACAAAAGCTGTCCCGGGAGTTATTCACATTGGATGCTTGGAGAATCCAGTGGCCGATGACAATAAAATACAGCTTGAGCCCATTAGACAGTCTTTGCCACATTCCAAGACTCAGATAATGTGCACTTCAATGGAATTTACACAAGCGTTGCCAGGAAATATTCAGACTGATTTTCAGCATGGCAACAACCCCTTTCCAGATAAAAGAGAGAATGAAATACGCTACAGCAACAAAGCCAAAAGTACCGCTACAAAGCCTTCAGGTCCAGTGCCATCTGAAATTCAAGTGGGCTTTCCAATTGATAGAATTACAGGAGTTCTCCAAACAGAGAAGGAAGCAGTCAATCAAACCATAGCAATGGATAGTTCTATGGAAATGACAAAACCTTTGCCTTCCAATATCCAAGTAGGCTTTGCATCCAATGACATTGGAATTCTACCCAAGGAAGGTGGAATGGCGAACTGCACTACGGCAATGCATACTTCGATGGAAATGACAAGACCTCTTCCTTCCAATATTCAAGTAGGCTTGGCGTCAAATGATATGGCTGGATTTCTACACAAGGATGGTGGAGTGGCCAACTGCACTGTGGCCATGCATACTTCGATGGAAATGACAAGACCTCTTCCTTCCAATATTCAAGTAGGCTTGGCAGCAAATGATATGGCTGGAATTCCTTACAAGGAAATTGGTATGGTCAACCATACCATTGCAATGGATACTTCAATGGAAATGACGAAACCTCTTCCTACGAATATCCAAGTAGGCTTGGCATCAAACAATATGGCTGGAATTCTGCACAAGGAAGGTGTAATGGCCAACTGCACTACGGCAATGCATACTTCGATGGAAATGACAAGACCTCTTCCTTCCAATATTCAAGTAGGCTTGACGTCAAACAATGTGGCTGGAATTCTGCACAAGGAAGGTGGAATGGTCAACTGCACTACGGCAATTCATACTTCGATGGAAATGACAAAACCTCTTCCTTCGAATATCCAAGTAGGCTTGGCGTCAAATGATATGGCTGGAATTCTGCACAAGGAAGGTGGAATGGCCAACTGCACTACGGCAATGCATACTTCGATGGAAATGACCAAACCTCTTCCTTCCAATATTCAAGTAGGCTTGGCAGCAAATGATATGTCTGGAATTCCAAACAAGGAAATTGGTATGGCCAATGATACCATTGCAATGGATACTTCAATGGAAATGACAAAACCACTTCCCTCCAATATCCAAATAGGCTTGGCGTCAAACAATGTGGCTAGAATTCCTCACAAGCAAAGTGGTATGGCCAACCACACTGTTGCAATGGATACTTCGATGGAAATGACAAAACCACTTCCTTCCAATATCCAGGTAGGCTTTGTGTCAAATGATTTGGCTGGAATTACTTTCAATGAAGACGGTGTAGCAAAACCCTCTACCAGTTTCAAAGAAGAATTTGATAAGGATCAAAAAGTTCAGAGCAATTTTCTGCAAGGAAGTGTTACTATACATTCATCAGACGCTCACGAACTGCCAATGGGACACCCTTCTTTCGAAATTGAAGACAGCTTTGTCCTGCCTGCCGACCCTTTCAAGTCCAAGCCTCTTCTTAATTCCTCCCCTCCTAGGCAAAGTGGAATTGAAGCTTATCAAAGCTTATCAAAGAAAGTTGCTGTTTCATCTCAGGTTGGAGTGGAACACACTCAAAGCGGTATGGGTTTGTCTAGTATGTCTGACATTATTAGCCCAGTACCCAATGAGCTCCAAGAGAAGCCTTTGTCTAATACACGCATTGGCGCCGATCCTTTTAAGTCCAAAGTTATTTCCATTCTCCCCCACTCTGTACAAGCTGCTGTGGAAGAAGTGAGGAGCCTTGAAGTGCCTCTGAGGACAACTGCAAATACTGAATTGTCTCCAAGAACAAAATCTCATTTCTCTGTTTCAAAATCTCCCAACAGTATTGCTTTGAAGGCAGTCAGTGGGTCTCCAATAGCCTCAACAAAAACTGAACATCCAACTCCATTCTTGGATGTTTCCAATCCATTCAAATCTAAATCACGCCTTATGAATTCCCCAATTAAACATAGTAATGAGTTGTCAGTTCATGTATCACCGAGCAACAAAGAAGCTGATGGGCCAAATTCTGAAGTAAGAAATGATGGTGCCATGCAGCCCACCACAGCAACCCTCCTTGGTGACATGAGTAGTCATCATCTTATGATATCAGATGAGCCTGATCCATTCCAAGATGTTCCAAGTGTCAACATGGAAATTTCAGCCAGCATCAACGATTCTGGAGCAAATCTGCTGCACACCACCATTAAGAATGCAGAATTGACTCTGCAGCAAATGCATAGCCCTGATTTGGAAGAAATGCAGCCAATTTCAAGAAACAAGGAAAATAGTTATTTGGTCAAAGCACTTGAAGATATGGATTGTGATCCTTTCCCGTCTGAAGGGGCTAGTTCGGCACTATTGCCTTCCAATGAAGCGAACTCTTGTCTCAGTCATCAAATTGCAAGTCCGGAAGATGAAGGAAGTATCAACAAAAAATCAACAAGGGATGACACTGACAAAATTGAAGGCATACAAACTGCCAAACGTTCCAGAGATCATAGTTTAGATTGTAGAGGAGTCGATCCTAATACTTCAGATGAAAGTTCATCATCTAAACGATTGTGCAAATATAGACCTGTTGCTGTGAGTAAGGAGTGCAAAGAAACTTTTAATGGCACCTTTGGCTCCGATCTGTCAGAAAAAATGTCTAGCAGTTCCAGTTCTAATCAAAATTGTAGCAATACGTCATCAGATGAGCATTTTCGATCTGTTGATGATATTGTTTCGAATCCCAAGTTGTGGATTGCAATGAAAAAGGGGGAAGACTTGTGGTCTTTCAGTTTTACTCACATGTGTTTTGAGCTGGAAGTTCATCTCAAGATGTCTTCTACCGCTGAAGGGATTGTAGAAGGCAGCCATGGACGTTTCCTTTGGAATGTTTCAGGTCAGTATACATTATGATGAAAAATCAACAGTTATTAATGAAACTGTCTGCTTTGATTTTCATATTCAATACAATTTTCAGATTCTACAAAACCCATTATACGCTGGGGAATGAAAATATTAATGGATAAACTGGATACAAAAGAGTGGGATTCTCTCTTGTACCATTCTCCAAATTTTCTCAACACAATGCAAAAGCTAAGAAGCACTGTTATTGACATCAAGAGTTTCCTTGCAGAAGCTATTGCTCAAGAGGGATTGCTAAACTTAGAATACACACCGAACAGGTAATACAATAGTTAAGACCTCTTCAACATGTATAATAATAAATGTTATGTTAACACCTCTTCCTCTCTCTTCAGCTTCTCAACGCTTATAATGAGTTTTAAATTGCACTTGTGCTTTCAAGTGACTGTAGAGCTTGACCTTTTGGAGAGATTCACTCCAGACCATATTACAGTGTTAAACATTTTTGGAAAAGTAAGGTAATGTATCAAATTTTAAGTTTTATAATGCTTAAAATTGCTATAGAATTATTGGTTTGCATAATTTTATGTTGTTTTTTTAGGGAACAGGAGGTGAAAAATCTTGTCACAGGGGTCAAGAAGGATAAATTTTTTGTACGCAATTACATAAGAGATATTAAGGATTATGTTGTCACACTGGAAAGCTTTTGTAAATAGAAGTTGTGTTACGTGAATTTGACTTAAGATCTCAATACAGCCTTTACAGTTCAGACAGTATTGGGCCCTTGTTATCCTATGTATTTTAAATTTCTTTCTTTCTTAAATCGAATTATATGCACCATGTATATAGTGTAATTTTAAACAGAAAATATGTTGAGCAGTTGATTTTTTTGATGCTATTTTGTATTCAGTCTGAACAGTTTTGGAGCTTGGTTACAATGCATGATAAGTGACGTCATAATTGAAATATAATTTATTTGTTTTTTACTTATTTTTTGTGTTTGTCCAAATCATTTGCTAATTCATGATTGTCTGCGTTATGCACAAGTGCCAGCAGTAATCTATGAAAGCATTTTTGCCTCTTGTATATTAAATTAAGCCAATGTTGTCTAATATCCAATCGATGTAGTAGGACACTCGTGTGTACACTCCTGGAGAGGGTGTGAGCCCACAGCGCTTGGATCCAAATGATACAATGCCAACAATGTAATACCTGAGTACAAAAGGAAAGAAGTGCATCTGTGATAGATATCTAAAATTTTCAAATTCATTCCATCCATTTAAATACTTACGCACCTTGGACCTCCATTGTAAGCCTCCACCTTCAATAGAGGACCGCCGGAATCACCTGAGCATGCATCGAATCCTATCTCACCTCCAGCACACATCTGTCTTTTTGTTATGTTGGCTTGGTTTCGATACAAGGCATGACAAATGGAATTGGAAACTACTGGGAGGTGAACCGTGCGCAGCTCTTGACTGGATTTCTGTAAGGCTGTGAACAGAGTGGAAATTACGAAAATGCTTAGCAGAGAACATTGATTTGTAAATGTTGCTGTGTTGCAGTGAAGGATGTGACTGGGCACTCTTACTTAGGTCGAAGATACCCCAGCCTGCTACCTCTGTCCGTTCTTGCTCGAAGCTCTTGGTGAGGAGGTCGCCATAGAGAATGCAGACTGGTGCAACCCAGCCTGCAATCCAGCCATTTGCAGCCAATGCAGTCGCAGCGCTCAGGTCACATGTACACTGGGAAAACAAACGTATGACACGTGCACACTTTTGAAAGGCGTTGCAGTTTCTTTTAGGCTTTTCTTGTTGTGGTAGATCAGTTACATTCCTTCCCCAATTACGACGTTAAGCTTGATGTAAGGCCCAAGAGGTAGCCTGAATTAAATGATAATGGTAGCCTATAGTGGTGTCACTCTTTTGGCCCTCAATACACACTTCAACTTAATGGGAAAAGGACTGTGTATACGTTTGGTTTTCCCAGTGTGAGTTAATCCAGATAAAAGTCAGTATGGTGGGTCCATGGACAAATTTAATGTTACGTGATGTTAAATGTTATTCAAACACAGTAAATGATCATGTCCAGTATAATAAATATATTTTTACCTCTGCTTCATTGTGAACTGACTAGAGTTTGAGAGACTGAGCAATTTCATAAATATAAAGCTAGATAAGCTTTAGTTAAAATAAAAAGTTTTATCTGGCAAATTGAAAAAATAAAAAAATAATCTTAAAAAAACACATGGTTGAAGATCAACCACAGTTCAATTCGTTGCATTCCCTTTCAGACGCCACTTTCAGTAATTTGTTCTGTAGAACCATGTCATTATTTTCTGCCCTTTATTCTTGGGCTGGCGAATGAGGACACGGCTACCACCACTGACTGTTTTGCTGTAAGTGCTTGTAATTACCGTTAAAGTTTATTTTCTGGGCCAGCTTGACGAGGGCGATGTCGTTGGCGAAGCGCGGGTTGTTGTAGTCCTGGTGCACGATGACGAACTCCGGGTCTATGTCGTACACTGGCGGGGCGCACACTGAGTATTGGCAGTCAGGGTCAGTGGTGGTGTCCCACTCGCCCAGGCGCACTCCGGCACTGCGGGCAAAGCTTGCGGGCAAAGCTCGTGGAGACCAAGCCGACCAAGCCATCGGCCGGCCGTCGGCGGACTGGGCTTCGGCCTTCGGCCGGCCATCGGCTGGACGGGACGGGCGGCAGGCACTTACATTATACTTACAATTCGAAGTTTTCCGGCAAGTTCTTGACGCAGTGGGCCGCCGTCAGGACGTGGAAGTGCGTGATGACCGCCCCCGCGCACCGGTACACCCTCCGAGCCACGCCGTCCACTAAAAGGTGAAAGGGAAGGGCGTCTTCAGTCTCCTGGGAAGATTCGAACCCAGTACCGCCGCGTATCGCCCAGGGGCGGACTCGCTTACGGTTGTAGCCGATGCGCGCCAGCCACGGGTACTGGCCGAGCCCTGCCACGAAGCCCCCCACTATGCGGTCGGCCAGGGCGCCCTTGCTCAGCCCGCACTTCTTGGCGTTGACGAGGTGCCAGTTGGGGTGGACCTGGTCCTCGTCCTCGTTGCCCAGCCCGACGCCACCAACAGCGGGGTCGTGGAACGGCGAGGCGTCCGAGGCGACCGGCTGCTGCTGTTGGTGGGCTCCGTTGGGGCTGTTGGAGCGGACGTCCATGTTGTTGTCGGCCTGGGCCCCATCTGGCCCGGGAAGAGCGTCGCTTTAAGGACGCCGTTGGCGTTGGCCGACCTCGCGCTATCTACGCCCAACGAGCGTGTACCTGAGTGGGCGATGCCGGCCGAGTCAAAGGGAGGCGAGGCGTAGCTCACGGGGGGGTCCTCGTCGTCGTGCAGCACGTCGCCCACGCTCGCCGTGCTCACCGTGCTTGCCGTGTGCCGAACCTGGTTCTGGGCCTGGGTGACTTGCTGGCCGGCTGAGCTCGCCGTCTTGAATACGGTGTGGTGGCCGGTGGCGGTGCTGGCAGTGCTTGAGGGCCTGCCTACGCCCGCCGTGCTGCCCGCTGCGGACCAGGACGGCGTCACGCCAGTCAGAAAGCCAGCCTGCAGAAGACGGTGTACAGCCAAAGTGGCAAGGGAGTGATTCGAAGCCGCAAATCCCGTTTGCAGGCGGCTGTGGCCTTTCTCAAGACGCCTCCCTGTGCGCTCGGCACGGCCTCCAAGGCACGGCGACACAGCCAACGTCAGCGCGCTAGCGGAGCTCCGTCAAGCAACCTCGTACCTGGAGAGAGTGGACGCGCGGCCATGGAGTGCAGAGGATGTCCAGGGTCAGCAGCAGCAAAGGCAGGCTCCCGCGCATGGCATCACCCCTGGGGGAACAAGACCCGTGTCATCACCGGGACCGCGTACATCGTGGCCTCGGTCCGCAGCGCGGCGGGCGTGGCCAGGGCGTGGCCAGGGCGTGGCGCCCGAAGTTGGTGCGCACTCCGTTTGCCCCTTCCGGCACTCCGGGCTGCATCCCCAGCGGCCACCTACCGCGCAGCACTCTTTAGTACGCATTTTCCGCGCTGCCCCAGCCGCCACCGGCAAGGCCGGCGGTGGGCCAGGGACCGCGATAGCGCCTATCATGGCGGAGGCCGAGCCGAACGGGCCGCTACTGACCAGGCAGACGTCCTCGGTGCCGGGGTCCGTGGCGGCCCTGGTGGCGGCGGCGCGTTGCGGCGCGGCGCTCCCCGCGCGACGTGGAGTGGTCCGCGCGGGGCGCCCAGCGGCCAGAGGGTCCCCGAGGGACGGCGGCCCGCGGCCTGCACAGCGCCGCGCCTTGCGCCTCGCCGCCCCCCTGGCGGGGCTGGCAGGCAGGGCCGGCAGGCAGGGCCCCACGTTGCACTCCATTGTGGCGCACACTGCCAGGAGACCCGCCTCTCGCCGAACAGAAACAACGGGAGCACGACCAGCACGTCTGAGTATAGCAGCTTTATGCCCGCTATCAAGAATGCGCTGATCAAGGACGGTTTTACAAATGCTTTGGATTGGTAGATTGTGTAGCTTATGCTTAGGATAGGTAGTTGCGCGGGGAGTTGGTCGTAAAACCAAGAGCGTTTTTTTCCAGTTCAATCGAAGTTTAATTTGTCGCAAGGAAGCCCCCTCCTCTTACAATGACTTGGTAACCTTATAGTCCTGGTACAGCAGTTGAAATTAAAACATTTGAAAAGACAATGTCCTACATTTAAAAAATAATCGCCGAGCGAACAAAGCTCTCCTTTGGGATTCCAATCTCCCATAATCCGACGGAGACAGCATTGACATTAAGATTGGCTGATTTCAAAGTTGCGCATTCACATATGTACAAATCCCAGTGTTGATACCCCGGTTGATGCTCGGACAGCTCCGCTCGCTTGCGGAAACTGCCAACCACGTCAACCTACTGCCCTCCTGGTAGATAGGCGTCTAGCGCTCAGCGTCCGGGGCCTGCTGCACCGTCGTCGCGGTGGTCGCGGTCGTCGTCCTGCTCCTGGCCGCCGGGCAGCGCCTCGCTGAACTCGACGCGGTGCGGCAGCTGGCGGTGGTAGGACCTCAGCCTGCTGCACCGTCGTCGCGGTGGTCGCGGTGGTCGTCCTGCTCCTGGCCGCCGGGCAGCGCCTCGCTGAACTCGACGCGGTGCGGCAGCTGGCGGTGGTAGGACCTCAGCCTGCTGCACCGTCGTCGCGGTGGCGCGGTGGTCGTCCTGCTCCTGGCCGCCGGGCAGCGCCTCGCTGAACTCGACGCGGTGCGGCAGCTGGCGGTGGTAGGACCTCAGCCTGCTGCACCGTCGTCGCGGTGGTCGCGGTGGTCGTCCTGCTCCTGGCCGCCGGGCAGCGCCTCGCTGAACTCGACGCGGTGCGGCAGCTGGCGGTGGTAGGACCTCAGCCTGCTGCACCGTCGTCGCGGTGGTCGCGGTGGTCGTCCTGCTCCTGGCCGCCGGGCAGCGCCTCGCTGAACTCGACGCGGTGCGGCAGCTGGCGGTGGTAGGACCTCAGCCTGCTGCACCGTCGTCGCGGTGGTCGCGGTGGTCGTCCTGCTCCTGGCCGCCGGGCAGCGCCTCGCTGAACTCGACGCGGTGCGGCAGCTGGCGGTGGTAGGACCTCAGCCTGCTGCACCGTCGTCGCGGTGGTCGCGGTGGTCGTCCTGCTCCTGGCCGCCGGGCAGCGCCTCGCTGAACTCGACGCGGTGCGGCAGCTGGCGGTGGTAGGACCTCAGCCTGCTGCACCGTCGTCGCGGTGGTCGCGGTGGTCGTCCTGCTCCTGGCCGCCGGGCAGCGCCTCGCTGAACTCGACGCGGTGCGGCAGCTGGCGGTGGTAGGACCTCAGCCTGCTGCACCGTCGTCGCGGTGGTCGCGGTGGTCGTCCTGCTCCTGGCCGCCGGGCAGCGCCTCGCTGAACTCGACGCGGTGCGGCAGCTGGCGGTGGTAGGACCTCAGCCTGCTGCTGGCGCGGTCCGGCGAGCGCAGGGCCGCGCTCACCGCGGTCACGCCGCGCTTGTCCTTCGCCGCGGGGCTCCACGCCCTGGCGGGCCTCGCGGGCCTGGCGTCCGCACTGCAGGGCCGCGACTGCCTCGGCCTGGGTGGAAGGAAGGACGCACGTCGTTACCCCGTGTAGGGACGGTTGCCACCTTCTTCCGTCCCTCAGAACGGCGCCAAGGCCAAGGCGCCACCTGGCGCCACTCACCCCCTGTGCAGGGCGGCCTCCAAAACCTTCACGTCGGCAGCGTCCTCGTCGTCTGAGAGAGCGGGGCATCCGAGGCCGCACTGGTCCTCCCCGTCCAAGCCCACGGAGAAGCGCGGGGACAGCCCCGTCGGCGGAGACCTGGAATGCTGGAGCAAGAGGGTCGTGAGCGGGACAGCGCCTGCAGAGAGGAGAGTAGGCAAGCCCGCCACGCAGCGGGGTCTGACGGGACGGCCGCGGCGCCTGCGCGCCTGTCAACTCGGGGGTAGGCAGGCCCGCCACGCAGCGGTGTCTGGCGGGACGGTATTCTCTTCTCTGCAGGCGCTTCGCGGCTCACCGCTTTCAGGGCTTGCATGCAACAGTGAACCGGAGCGACAGGCGTGGGCATAGTGGAAGGTTCGCACCCTCACTGTGCTCTGCGAGGTGCTCTGCGAGGTGCTCTGCACTCACCGCGGCGGACTGGCGGGACTGGCGCTCGAACAGCGTGGGGATGGTGTGCACGCGGTGCAGCATGTGGCGCATCAGCACGCCGTGCTCCAGGCGGCGCTGCCGCTCCTCCTCGCGGCGCGCCGCGGCCCGCAGCGCCAGGTCCTCCTCCGTGGAGTACTGGATGGACCGCCAGGCCGGCGTGAGCCTCGTGAGCCGCTCCTTGAGCCGCATCTCCGCGCGCCGGGCCTGCTCCTCGCGGAGGCGGTGGTGCTCCGCCTCGAGCCGCCGCCTGCAGGAACACGGGGAGCGCCAGGGGCCGTGATGCAGCCGTCGCTCTGTCTCTCTCGCGCCCCGACAGGACGCCCCACGAGTTGAACAGAGACAGAGCGATGAAACGACCCTGCAGACTGATTTCGAGAGTCGTTTTCGTCGCTCTGTCTCTCTCACACTCATGAGGCGTCCCGCACAGGTGCAAGAGAGACAGAGCGACGAAAACGACTCTCGGAACCAGTCTGCTAGTTGCCCTCGGCTCACCTCGCGGTCTGGATGCGCAGCAGGGCGGCCAGGTTGCTGCGGCTGGTGCTGGCGGCCAGGTCCATCTGGTCCCGGTCCGTCTGGTCCGGGCAGCCGGACCGCGGCCGCGGCCTGCAGCGCCGGGAGTCCGAGCCGGGTGACAAGGAGCCCTGCAACGCCAACGCCAACGTCACCAGGGCCAAGGGTTCCACTCCAGGCTCCACGCAGGACGCGGGGCATGCAGCACAGTGGGGCAGAAGACCGGTGGAGGCGGCCAAAATTCTAGACGCGTTTTGAGGTCCGGAGTCGCTAAATGGGACTCGAACCGAACGCGTGACCCAATGGATTGCTCTCCGAACGAAGAATCCATTGGTGGGGTCCCACGTTCGGTTCGAATCCTGTTCAGCGACTCTGGAGCTCATTTTGGCAACCTCCACCGGTCTTCTGGCCCACTGTGCGCAGGGCTGGCATCTCATCATTCAAAATGCAAGCTTTCAGAAAACAAGGGATGCAATTCAAATTTTGTGTGATTACAGAAGAAAAAGGCGTGGACCCCAAAAGTCCGTTACCAAACCAGTTCCACTTCAAGCCCTCGCTTGACTTCGCACCTGCTTGCGGCGCGGCGACAGGCTGGCGGTGCGCACTCGCAGGCTGTAGGGCGAGGGGCTAGGCTGCCGCCCCTGCATCCCCTGCATCTCCTGGCGCTTGGACGAGTCCGGCCTCTGCGGCCGCCGCGTCCGGCCTCTGCGGCCCCGGCCTCCCCGGCTCGGCCGCTCCTCCGTGGCCGCCGTGCCGGCGTCCGCGCTGCCTGCGCCTAGAGGCCCCGCGCCGCCACCACCGCTGTGGTCGCTGCTGCTGCTGGGCCCCAGCGACGCCCCCTCCGCCTGCACCCGGCCGAGGCGCTCGCGGAACGCCATGGAGGGCGGCAGGGAGGCGGCGCGCAGCATCTCCTCGGCACGGACTTTGCGTTTTAGAGCCCTAAAAAGCACACAAAAAAATCAAACGGTGCAGTGTTAAATATTGAATTTGGCTAATGATAATGTCTAATGTCTGTAAGCAAACATAGAAAAACTTGCCTGAAAAATTCGTCATCTTGTTTTTTCTGGTAGACATAGTTACTGAACAAGTTGCGAGGAATGGGCCGAGCGCGGAAAAGCTTTGGAGAAGGTGACCGACAGTGGCTGCTGCTGATGTCAGGAGTGGATCGGGTATACTGTCGTTCGTTGCTTACAAAATTGAAGGGGACTGGTTTGGTAACGGACTTTTGGGGTCCACGCCTTTTTCTTCTGTAATCACACAAAATTTGAATTACATCCCTTGTTTTCTGAAAGCTTGCATTTTTAATGATGATTCCTCACCGTGTCTTTTTCTTTGAAGAGGATGTTTTAGATGAGTTGGTTGATCTTTTAGTGATCGGACTTCCAGGCAAACTCTGACTCATTACAGCTGTGGAGGGCCTAGTTGAATTCATGTGGAGCATAGTACCCAACATACTGTCCGAGTCTGATTGCATCCAACCTGAGCTTGGAACATAATAGTCTTCGTAAGTCATTGCATCATGGTGATTTAAACTATAATGACTGTTGCAATCTTGAACATTTAGTTCAGATGTTTCAGAGCTCTGCACAGCACACAGTTGATGGCTTGTTTTCTTTGATGTTGAGGGGTGATTCTCTCTGGTTCCTTCCTGTAGTTTATAGAAGTCATAATTATTGGTAGAACTTTCCTTCACCCCAAACAAATTGGAAATTCCTTGACAACTTTCCGATCTTCCAGTACTAGTGAAAGGTGACTCACAGTCTTGAATGTTATGGGCTATTTCATCTTTATGTTCTTCCACAACAAAGGTTGGTGTTAAAGTCTTTGATTTCAAAATATGGCTGTCGATAGACAAAGAGGAACCGGAGTCCATAATATTTGTTTCCGATTCATTCTTTACGTCATATTGCACATACTTCCTTGGACTTACATTAGTAGATGGTGCCTTTTTAGACTGGTTTTCCATCTCTAAAGTTCTTATTCGATAATCATTTTCACTTTTCCTGCCTAATGAGCTAAGACTATCACATGATTTATTTAACCATTCTTTAGCCAGTTCTAACTTATTGACACTTTTGCAGTTCTTCTTCTGATACCTTAAAGTTGCTCCTTCATTTTCTTCAAAATCCCTTGGAGAATATCTACCATCCAAATTGTGTAAGTATTCTCTTTGTTTGTGGCGAAGTAATTTCAGTTTATCTTCAAATTCTTTGTCTGAAAGATGTGTTACGTCCTGGTAGTCGGGGATGCTTTCATAAAAATCCATAAATGAATCAAGAGGAGAATTATTGCTGCCTTCTGCTCGGGTCTGCTTGCCACCAATAAATTTTGAAACAACCCGCTGCTTGGGCACAGGGGAGTTGATACTCGATGCAGGGCGAGAGGAGGCACTAGTAACACGAAATTTTCTCGCTGATGAGCCTTCATGTTCAGTGTGAGGTGCTACAAGCCCCCTTTCATAAGAGGGTGACGGCTGTTGACTGTAAGGATTGATGGGTACCCGAAGACAGGAAGAGTTGAATGACATAGTAGAGTGCTTCCTTGTCAATCTCAGAAATAAGTATAGAACAATCGTGACACCATCATTGAAATATAATTGAACATGCACTGGGTCTTTGATAAGACTTCCCTGCCACCAAGCACACTCTCCAACAATGACAATCTTGAAATGAAAGTGGTTTCAACATGTCTCAGTGAGAAAAGCTGAGCTGAAGTGACGGCTGAAATGCTGTCTGCTCAATTTACGACACTTGCTAGACACTACTTGTTTGTGGCGATGCTAAATACTCGGAGATACACACAGTGGATGTTTTCTCGTTGCTATGGTGACGGAAGGAGGCGAAACTCGTTCCCAGGCTTACCAAACGATAAACTTGAGGATCTTTCGGGAAAGTCTTTTCTTCCAGTTTCAGTGTCATGCTGTCTCGAAGCCACATAAATACAACCCTTGCTGATTTGAACTATCGGCGAACTACCAAGAGACAATGCTGATGAGAAAAGGGCTCCAGAAGAGGGAGAAGAGAGGAGAGAGGGAGGGAGAAGGTGAGGGGGTTTGGGGTGGGGAGGGGAGGTGGGCTGCTACGACCAATGGGGGGGATCCTCCTCCGCAGATTGCTGCTTGTAAACTTAACCCCAGCGTTTTCGTGAGAAGCAAGTTAAATCAGAGCCAGATATGTTTGCCAAGGCTTGTCACGGGGTCCTGTCTTCAAGGATAGTTGCAGCATCTTTTAAACGGGATCGTTTTTTGCTTAGTTTTAAACGGTGCTTCTCGAATGGCCCGACATGCCATCCTCTCGCAAGTCAAGGTTCAGCTACTGCACTTGTGCCCCACTGTGCTCAGTGGACAGCCAAGAGATTTCGAACCAAAGTAGCTGAATCGAGTGGTAGTGATGAAATCCCAAAGTTACTTGGCAGTGCACGGACTCAGAGAAGGAGAAATAAAGCCAAGCAGCCAGAAAAGGGAGTAAGTGAAGGTGTAGTTTTTACGTCTGTATTTCATGTTACGTTCTTTAAACCAACTTTTCCGTTTGCTTTTCATCTTAGTATCCTATTGTGGCCTTCAGTACTGCTGAAGAATACAACTTAGAATGCCTTAAAGAAGGCATAGCAAAGCAGCAATTGTATAGTGTGGTTGAAGAGGAGGAAGAAGGCTTTAAAGGTATAATTTGAACACGTCCATTTTTAAATTATTCAATAGCTTTTGTCATTAAAGTGGCATTGTTATATCTTTGCAGTTCAAGAATCTGATCATCAAGAGGATGTTGTGCACATCAAGGCACGATATAATGTTGATGACGAGCCTCGTGAAGTGTTCTTTTTTCGAGAGGGCACAGCTGTGTTTTGGAATGTATCAGACTTGGAGGTTTCAAATTTTCTCCGGTTTATTAGTCCATTTGAAGTGAGGAGATACGATGAGAAGCTTGTCTTGAGTGAACGAGAATATATGTCTTACATTCATGGTGAATCGTAAGTAATTTATCATTGGAGCAGTTTCCTGCTTACATTGTCTATGTACTTCTTTCTCAATTTTGTTTCCAGAAAGAAAACATTGCTTCGTAATGATATAATAGAATTATCTGCTCTACCTGAGAGTAGTCTGGAAAAGTATTCTTTCTCCAATGGTGTCGCTCTCTCAGTCAAGCTCGGCATTTGGGAATCTTCACTAGAGAGATTCATTGACTCAATTGAATTTATTAGTGAAGTAATGAAATTTTCATGTTTCCCTGATTTATTTTATCAAATTTATTTTATTTTATAACTTATGTATTAATTTCCTCATTTAATGCTCAGGATTTGAAAGCTGGCCGCAAAATACGGATGACACGAGAGGAAGTTCTACGAAAACAAGGGGAACTTTTTGCTATGCGCCATTCAATCAATTTAAGTTCTGATTTATTAGATACTCCTGACTTTTATTGGGACAATGAGGAATTAGAAAGGCTGTTTTTGCAGACTATTAACTATTATTGCATCAGCCGGCGCACAAGGGTAAAAACTTTTGGATTTCCCAAAATTACACGTATGCATTTTGTCCACATCACATTCCAACATTTTTGATTGTTGCAGGTAATGAATGAAAAAATCAGCCACTGTGCTGAAATGATGGAGCTGGTTTCTTCACATCTAAGTGATAAGCACCATATTAGACTTGAATGGATGATTATTGTTCTTATTATGGTTGAAGTTGGATTTGAATTTTTGCATTTCATGAAGTAGACAACCAATTTTTTATTTTTATGTTTAACTGCTGAAACAACTCGGTACCTATGATGGGTCCTTGAAGCCATTATCTTGAATTAAAGTGTAACTTGGGTATGTAAAATCCAGTATGTTTCTGAAGGTCAGTGGATCATCAATTCCCTATAGTCTTTTATTTCTAATTCTATTTCATTCTAATTACAAGCTATTCAATGAACTCTTAGAGAAAAATTGTCCACTCTAGTGGAACCATGACATTGATTGTAAACAAGTATGTAGTAAAATGATAACATCAACAAGATTATATGGCTATAGAAGTACTTGCTTCTTTCTTTATCCTCTGCTCTTCTTCTAAACAGTAATGAACATAAATGAGGGCAAAGTCAGGTAAAAATGAAAACAATAAATAATAATATGAATTTATCAGTACAGTTCTTCGCGACTAGGAATACCTCTTGATAACAACTAAACTGCTAATACTTCAAAACACGTAACCACTTTACACTTAATTAAAAAGAATAAATAAGACAATATACCATTTCAACAAATTCTAAACTTTTATCTTACAGCATTATAAGATGCACTACACAGAAAATAACTAATAGATCAGATCATCCTATCCTGACAACTCGCTAACTAGAGGCACTGGGAGAAATCTTCTCCTCAAATATTTTGGTCTCCCTTTTTTTAAAAAGGTGGTGATATTATTGGAGGGTGAAGGCATTTGATGTTTTGTTTTGCCAACGGCGCCTTCTCGTTTCTAACTTGTAAGTATTGTCTGTGTAACGTCTTCGTGCATCCGGTATTGCTGTGCAACTGCAAGAAAAAGAAAACAGTGTGACTTTTGCCCTTGTGAATGCCAGCTCTGACATATTACTAACCTGTGTACTTACGTGCAAGTGTTTGGGTCGAAGTAGAGGCCTGTTGTGCATCCCTCTGCAGGATATTCCCTGCATCTACATTTACAGTCATTGTAGTCCCAGAGCTTGTTTGGTTCTGATAGGCATTTCCGTTTTTCATCTGCATTGCCACAGTTGCAACGACACTCATTGGGGCTGTATTCTTGCAGTGCATTGCAGTCCTGCAAACAAAAAAAATATCTCATGTTAGAATATTATTACAGGACTTTGAGACAGGTCCTCAAGAACACTAGAAAACTCACCTCAGCTTTTACAATGCATCTACATTTGCATTCCACATGTCGTTCCAGATGCAATAGATCTGTACCATTTTTAATCATTCCATTAATTATGAATTTTGTGATCTAAAGTAGATGGGAGAAAAATGGTTTAATGGTTAAATGATACTGAAACAATTTTAAAAGTGTTATGGAGAATATGGCTGAACTTACTCGATATGTAACCATCTCAGTTTTAGTGGGCTGACAAGATTGCTGGCGGTCATTGATGCAACAGCCTCCACATCTCTCAAGCTGGATGCAATAAGGCCAATACATTATTGAGAGGTCATCTGGTTTCTTCAGTGCAACGGGTTGCAATGTTGGTCGACACTTGGCTGCAACTGGCTGCTTCACAGCAGTGTCTTAAAACAACACAAAATATTGGTCAATATTTCATTTAAGGACAAAAGAGTACATTAGTGAGACGTCCACACATTTCAAAGCTCACGAAAGAGGAACATTTAAATTGAAACGGCACTTTGAAAAGAGCGCGTTACACATGCAGGAAACAACAAAGTATGGTGATCTTAAAACTGCACATTGCTGACGACTGTAAACCATGTTACGACAGTGCGACAGAACAAAACATTCTTAAAACAAAATTTTATTATAAAAATTAAGTAAACATATTATTGAAATGGAATCACTACATGCTAAAAGGGTAGTTAGTTACGTTGTATTTTTTGTTGGGTTGGTCATGCTGGTTGTTGTTTGTCGGAGCGCGCGATTCTGTTGTGTTTGTGTGTGTGTGTGCGTGTGTGCGCCGGTGGCGTGGGTGGGTCGTGAAAGGAGTGAGAGTTGTTTGGCCCCTGCTCAGGCTGCTGCTGTTCGAGAACAAATCGGCAGTACGCTGTCTAAGTCGCAAGTAAGTCTGCCAGATTTGCGCCCTCGGTGGGGCAGTGGGACGCCGCCCCATGTCAGTTCAAGCCGTTACGAAGGACTGCGATTGAGACGGCATTGGCAAGTGGCGTCCTTGTCATTCATAACCTAGCCGATTCAAAATAGCGTGCCTCGCCCCCCGCGTTTCGGGCATCTGGCGTGGGTTTTCTCCCAGCTGGCAAGACCCCACGGCCTGTCAGGTTGAAACCGGCGTGCGTGTTGTTGGAAGTAATGCCGTCGGTGGGCTCGGAACCACCTGTTGCGGCTGGTGCGGGCCATGGCATGTTGGCCTGTGCCTGCCGCCTGCCGCCCCACTGCAACCCTTTCCCTTTGTTTGGTTTGCTGTCGATGTCGATGACGGTGACAGCTTCCCGCCGCTCCCGCCATCGATTCTCCTCGGTCCTGACCAGTCGTCCCTTTCTATCTAAAGCCAAGTCGAACACTGTGTCCTTTACACTGAGCTTTTCTGGTCAATGTAGATGACTTACTGCGTCACCTGCTGTGAGGGGCTGGCAGTTTATGTTGTTGTTTATTATCTTTGTCTATGTCGATTCTAAACGGCTCCTGTTCTCTTTCACTATGCAATTCTTTTCCCTAAGTGCTGCAGTCAATTGTGAAAGTGAAATATCACTCATCAATTAAGAAACAGCAATTAGAATGTCCACTCAGCATGCCACTCGAAGCTCATGCGTCAATCAGTCGGCATAGTTGCGATGTCCACTCACAACTCACTGTCAGAACTCAGTCGCTGATGGGTACCTGCTCGATGTCCTATTAAAATTTTACGATTCATTGCTCGAGATCTGGTTGGGTACTCACTTCTAGCTTCTCCTGCGGGTCCTCCCCCTTTTCTACCTGCAAAAGAGAAGATGTTTTTACAATTTTATATTTGTGTTTGTTTCAGATATGGCTGAAAACAGTATTCTACAGACTAATTCGTCTGGCGGAAGGGATGTAGTGACAACATTCATTCGAGTTTTGAATTCAAGAAGCAGTTACATGGCTTCTCAACTGTTCTCAGAAGACATCATTATGGAATGGTTTGGCCGGACTATCATTGGAAGAAACAATGTCCTGAACTTTCTTTATGACGAAGCCATGGTTTCTAACCATGACCTGATAGAAGTCAAGAAGTCCAAACAAGCCAATCCACCTCCTAGGGCACTTAAAAGGTTTCGCCAACCTCTGACACCAGAGAAAGATGAAGACATGCATAACGACTCGGGGTTTGGCTCAGGTATATATGAAAGTTGCGACTCCAGCTTCAGCAGCTCTGGTAGCTTAACTCCAAGTCAAAATGTAGCAATGGATTTGTCAAGACTTCATGTCACAAAGCTTAAAGATGATGGACTTGCCCTAGCGCCATTGTGCAGAAACTTCAAAACACCATCTAACACACGACTTCCTGCAATCAAGCATCCTCTTCTGAAGAAGCAGCCCATGCTTCTCAAACGGTATATTTAATTTGAATTGTGTTGGAAATGTATTAAGTTTTTTCCAATAATTTTTATTGTTATTTTCTTTTGCAGCCTAAAAGAAGTAGATTTACCAACAAATCTTGAGTTTGTTGATGCAGCTGGAATATTATATTTCCGTGTTGATGGTGACTTCTACAATGCAGGGACGTCTTGGAGCAAGCCATGCCACCTTCAAATTGGTTACCAACGACGAGACTCTCCTGAAGACTTGCTAATTTGTTTCTTATTGTACAATTCTGACATGCCATGTCGTCGCAACCTATCTCAGGTATTTGACCAGTGTGAATAGTTGTTAAGTTTAACACAACCAAATTTAATCTGTAATAGCATTTTTTAAAATATCTTTTCTTTAAATCTTATAGTTTACCAAATTTCTAAAGCTGTCAAATTTAACTTGTGTTCTGTAAAGTTGAATTTGTTCCTTGCTTCTTTTAATTCTGTTGATTGTGACTGTTGTTGTTTTATATTGGCTAGTTGTTTTCCTTTTGTAATGTATAGTGTCTTTTGAAATTTGTTAATTTGCTAATTAGTCATTCATTTTAGTCGCAAAGCTTTAAAACTTGTGAGTATGTTCCTTCTTGTCTTGTAGTTAATGCGTTACTTTAGATAATGCACTACCTCATATTATTTTCATCACATTCCACTTCCTCAACCCATCATTTCTAAGTATGCATCATTGCATTATTGAAAATCAGTATAAAAGTCAAGGATGATAATACTAGTGGGAGAAGTTCTATGTCCATCCTAGGAAGTACGACAATCACTATTTTCTTGGTAGCTATTAAGTCATTCAAGTCATTTGTTTTAATGCTCTTGACTAAGTTTAATGTCCTCACAAACTTAGTTAATAGAGATTTAATTTTTTTTAGCTCTCTTAAATTTACTGGCTTGGTACAAAGAGAAGTGAGTAAGAATCTGATATGTTAAGAATGTCTTGTGATGTCAGACAATGCATGCTGTCTGGGCCGTATTCAAGTTACCTCATGATTAAAAATAAATTGTTTTATACAAACTCGTGTGGTTTGATTCCTCCTATTCCTGCTCCATGATCACGAGAGGTGATAGTGAAAGATTTGGAAGAGTGCAAGCTTGAGTCACTCCGGCGGTTAGACTCAAGAGAAGAGCACAACCAGTTTAACTCTGTCAAAAGAGTTTTAGTAAGGTACACTTACTTGAAAGTTGGGGCAGAATTCTGGCGCTCACAATTGGAGGCTCGACATCATAACTTCCATTTGGGAACGATCTCACCACGTCATCGAGGGAGTCCAAGTTATTGAGCTGGTCAATCTGCTGGGGCGTTAACTGGAAAAGACAGAAAGACATATAGGTCAAACATGACGGTCCAAACGTAAAGGGCGTGGTGAATCCCATGCATCCTATAAAGCTCATGCCCAAGTAAAACTACTGCAGTTCGCGCTAGCACCCAAACCAGACTCTGTTTCCGAGAAGCTCGTCTTGAGGCATGCCTACGCCATAGCGCCAGCGCCTACGTGAGCGTGGCTTTGCTTGGGTGAGAGGAGGGGGCCTTCATTTCGTACCCATTCCCCGTTTTCGCATTTGTTTCGCACCCCCCGATTCCCGCGGCTAGCCCAGCTGTGTGTACACAGTACACATTTCTGGCCTGCCGGGCGAATCAGAAGAGTCGTCTCGTCGCTCTGTCTCTCTCGCACTCCTGGGGCTTACGAGAGGGTGCGAGAGAGACAGAGCGTCAAACCGATCTTCTGAATCGCCCGGCTGGGAGGGGAGGCTTGTTGCACTCCCGAGTTAGCCGACCGGCCGCCCTGCCCGCGAGCAGACACGCCTCAGGCATCACAGACATTCTGCAGCAGAATGGCCAATGGTGGCGCGGGAAGCTTGCCAAATGCGTCCAAAAGCCTGCGCAAAACAGCCCTTGGACAGTGCCATTCACTCACAGCGTTTCAGAGCCTTAGGCCAGTCCCGATCGAAGGAGGGGTTTTGCTACCCGTCCGTCACAGAGCGCCCGCGAGCCTCCCTTTATTCGATTTACCCCGTGCCTCTGGTCGCATTCAGGGGGGGGGGGGGGGGCTTTCCAACCCCGTACCATCCGTATCGAGCTGCACCGGCCTCGGCGAAAGTTCACTGTCGTCCCATCGCCTGGTGTTGAGCCGCGCCTGGCTGCGCTGAGTGTTCGCATCCGCCACTTTGAAAGGTCTCTCCCCGCCGTCGCTTGCGAAACAACCAGAAGTTCCGAATGGCGTTCCCTGTAGGTGACGTCACCGCCGCCATCAGGGCCCATTCATCGCGTATCCGGCCAGGGCCGAGCGGGGCCCACCAGCAGACTAGTCGCACTCCAGGGGCGTCCCGAAGGGGTGCGAGAGAGGCAGAGCGACTTTTCGGAATGAGTCTGCCCGGCCCACAGGCCGCAGGGGCAATTGGAGGGCTGTGGCAGGTTCCCGAGGTTCCCTGCTGGACAGGACAGTCGCGCACAAGCGGGCGCTGGCGGCGGCAGAGGGGGAATGACCAAAAACCCCGGGGGCCTACAGAGCGGGGACCCGTCGGCCCATCGGCGGCGCAGCGTCACCGAAGCGTCGCGGAGTACAGCGGGTCGGAGCGTCGCTGGCAGGCACGGCAGGCACGCGACGCGAGCGATGCGAACGACGCGGACTCACCTTGAGGCGTGCACTGCCCCGCCCCGCCCCCGCCCCCGCCGCCGCGCTCCGGCTGACGGGCTGACCCGGCCTTGGCAGACTCGCCGAGCCTACCGGGCCCGCCGAAGAGACCGAGGAGGGTTTCCGTCTCTCTCGCTCGCGAGGCGCGAGGCGCCTCTTCCACTGCGAAATCGCGATGCACGAATCCAGGGGAGGGGTAAATGGAACCCCCTGGCCCTAGATATGGCCGCCTGAGAGGCAAGAATCCACACTGTGCCCATGTGGGTGAGCAGGCAAAAAATGCTGCTCCCTCAGGCCGGCTTTGATTCCGAACACTGCTTCGTCGCTCTGTCTCTCTCGCACCCCTACGGAACGCCCCATGAGTGCGAGAGAGACAGAGCGACGAAAGCAGTGCTCGGAATCAGACGGCTGGATCCGCGCCACTGTTGGCACCCCTCCCTTTGCCCCGGGTCCTATCGCACGTGACGCATCCGAGATTGAGATTCCCGCCGCGACGCCGGACGGAAGCGAGAGGCCGCGGAAGCGCGAACTCGTGGAGCGGCAATCGCGGGGTGCGTTCGAAAAGCATGAAAGGTCGTCGCCCCGGCTCCAGCTCTGCGGCGTTCGCCCTTCACCCTCCGCGCTCTTCACACTCCGCGCTCAACCCTCCGCTCTTCGCCCTACCGTCCTCCACCCTCCGCCCGCTCTTCGCCCTTCGTCCTCCGCCCTCCACTCTTCACCCTCTACCCCTTACCCGCCACCCTCCACCCCCCGCTCTTCGCCCCCCGCTCTTCGCCCCCCGCTCTTCGCCCTCCGCTCTTCGCCCTCCGCTCTTCGCACCCTCCGCTCTCTGCTCTCCGCTCTTGCCCCGCTCTTCGCCCTCCGCTCTTCGCCCCCCGCTCTTCGCCCTCCGCTCTTCGCCCTCCGCTCTTCGCCCCCGCTCTTCGCCCTCCGCTCTTCGCCCTCCGCTCTTCGCCCTCCGCTCTTCGCCCTCCGCTCTTCGCTCTCCGCTCTTCGCCCTCCGGTCTTCGCCCTCCGCTCTTCGCCCTCCGCTCTTCGCCCTCCGCTCTTCACCCTTCGCCCTTCACCCCTGCGAAGTAGAAGCCCGACGTCCGCCCACGCGGTGCTCCAGCTCTGCAGGCACGCGCGACGCGCGGCCGGGAGTCTCCGGAAGTCGACCAAGTTGCCGGTTTGCCGGATTATTGCGAGCCAGCAGGACTGCAGCCGTGCACGGCAGGGGGCGGCATGCACATGGCAAGTGCAGGTGACGCCGGGTGACTCACTCCAATCCGGTTAGATAGCCGAACGAGCCACGAATGAATGCGGTCGGCCGTCGTCCGCCGGCGGTCATGACACCTGTTTGTCGGTCGCATGCCTGTTGCCTTGCCCGCCTGTGCCCCACGGCCCCACGGAGGGAGCAGGGCGGAGCACAGGCCCCCCCAGTGCAGCGTCCGAAGTTTCCGGAGAGAAGCGGGGCCTAGGCAGTACCTGTACGCGCAGTGCCGCTCCGCGTACAGTACCGGGCAGGGCGTCACTCCCAGCGGTTGGGGGGTGCCTCCTCCTCCTTCCCCTCCTCGCGGTGCATCAGCACCGGCGCACCCGGCGCACTGAGACTGTCCGGGTGCTTGTCTTGGCACCGGACCCTGCCCGGCCAGGCCAGGGCAACCCAGGACCAGGCCCCTTGGGGGCGGGCATTTTGTTTACCGCGCCCGTGCGGTACTGCAGACTGATTCCGAGACTCGTTTTCGTCGCTCTGTCTCCCTCGCACTCACGTGGCGCTCCGTATGGGTGCAAGAGAGTCAGAGCGACGAAGATGACTCTCGGAATGAGCCTACTGGGCCTGCGGAACGTCAGCGAGCGTGTTTAGGCAGCCTCCGCCACGGGCGAATGGGCCAACGGGCGCCAACGGGCGAATGCAGGGCCATGATCTTGACGCTCACGCCGCCGCCGAAGCAAGCAGAAGCAAGCAGAAGCGATGGCCGGTGTACAAGGAAAACGAGGCGAAACGAGGCGAAACGAGGCGCGCGCCTCTCTAGGCCAGTGGCGCGCCTTGAATTGAAACTGAATTGTGGCGGCGGGCGGCAGCCGAGCGATTCAGCAGAGCGGCTTGTCGCTCTGTCTCCCTCGCACCCTGACGGAGAGCCCCGTGAGTGCGACAGAGACAGCGCGACGATTGACTCTTCCGAATCGCTCGGCAGGTCAAATGTAGGTCGTAAATGAAAGAGCGGCGGGGCGGTGGGCGGGGGCGCGGTCGGCGCGGTCACTGCCGCGCCAGCGCAGCGCACGCCAGCGTTGGTTTCCGTGCGGCCTGGACATTTGCAGCAACCTCATTCCGAACAGTGGCGTGCGGGGGGGGGGGGGGGTGTCCTGACCCCCCCTCCCTTTTGGCCACTAGACAGCCGCCTGGAAGGTAGGCAAATTGCGTCACTTTCCCCCTGTAAGTAGGCAGAAAGCATGGCCTGACCCCTCCCTTTCAAAATTTCTGCGCACGCCACTGATTCCGAACGGCGTTTTCATCGCTCTGTCTCTCTCACACCGCAGCGCGCTGCAGCGTGAACGCCCCATGGGTGCGAGAGAGACATCACTCTTCGGATTCGCCGGAAAGGCCGTGCATGCGTGGGGCGGTTCGTTGGCAGGGGAGTGGCCGTCGTCAGGATCCCCTTTCCCTCTTGCCAACACTCTCCAATCGGAAGCTTCTGCAGGGCCATGAAGCCGAAACGGGACCTGGGCGATCTAGTACCTGACCCCGGATGGCCAGGATGGCCCGGACCAGCACGGCCGCAGCCTGCACGCTGCCGTCCCCCGCCTGTACATTCCCTCAACCCTGAGCCAGCGGCGACCCTTTGCCATGCAGGCCTTTTCTTGGTGTCATCATGAGTGTGGCAAACAGCCTCGGAACAACGAGCGAAACAAAGGACCGGAACAGCACTCCGACAATGAGGCCCCCGGTGGGGTTCGGCTGTTTAACTTTTCCTTAGGTCGCCGCTGGCTCAGGATTGGGGGTTATGGCATGGTGGCCACGCGCCACGCACGCCACTGCACCGTGAGCCAGAAGACCGGCGGGGGCGATCAAAATCCCGGACGCGTTTTGAGCTCCAGAGTCGCTAAACAGGACTCGAACCGAACGTGTGACCCCACCAATGAATTGCTCTCAGAACGAGGAATCCATCGATGGGGTCACACGTTCGGTTCGAGTCCTGTTTAGCGACTCTGGAGCTCAAAACGCGTCTTGAGTTTTGGCCGCCTGCACCGGTCTGCTGGCCCACTGTGCACCGGGCGAAGAGAAGGGTTTCCCGCCGCCCGGGATGATGCCTGCCCGCGTGCAGTGCTGCCCGCGGGTTGCCTGCCCGCCCTTCGCGGGGGGCTCTGCTCGGCCAGCCAGCCGTTGGCGGTGGCGCCCCGCTCGGCTCGCTATGCGTCGCTATGCCACTTTTGACACCTCGCCGTCGGCCCGCCTCACGCCTCTGGCGTCCTTGGCGGCGCCGTCGTGCGCGCGGGATTTTCACTCGTTCGCGGAAAGGTAAACGCGGTAAATGCCTCGGAGGAACACGCAGCACGGAGGGCCCCACACGGCTAAATTACTGCCAACTCGCCCGCGCGGTCGAACCCTCGTCCCGTCGGGCCGACGCGCGACGCAGCGACGCAACGGAGTTCTGTTTGGCTCTGACGTCATTCCCGTTCTGCGGCACGCTGCGGCACTGGTGGGTGCACTTATCCGGTAGCCGCCAAACTGGCGGCGTGGAGCCGCGCGACGTGTGGTACACTGTTACGCGACGGGCGGCCGGCAGTTTGGCGGGCAGCGCGGCGAGCACCGCGACGCCGGAGCAGCAGACTGATTCCGAGAGTCGTCTCCGTCGCTCTGTCTTTCTCGCACCAACACGGGACGCGCCGTGAGTGTGAGAAAGCCGGAGGGACGAAAACGACTCTCGGAGTCAGTCTGCTGTGGAACCGGAACGAGCATCGACCGCCCAGCAGTCCAGTGTCTCCGAGAGAGCTTGCTTCGACACCGCCGCCACCGTGTTTGTTTGGACGGCCCACGCGCCCACGCACATTCGCGCGGCTCACAGTGGGCCAGAAGACCGATGAAGGCGGCCAAAACCCCAGAGTCGCTGAATGGGACTCGAATCGAACGTGGAGAGCAATCCATTGGTGGGGTCACACGCTCGGTTTGAGTCCTGTTTAGCGACTCTGGAGCTCAAAACGCGTTTAGAGTTTTGGCTGCCTCCGGTCTTCTGGCCCACTGTGCGACTGCGCGCGGCGCGCGGACAGGGCGGAGCTCAATGCTCGAGTACGCGGTGGTGGGCGAGGGGCGAGGGGCGAGTGGGGGCCGGAGGGGCGCGCACTGGATTATCCTGCCTACACCTACATTGTCGCTCCGTCCTTTTCTCTCTCGCTTGTGCACTCATGAGGCGAGAGAGACAGAGCGAATGAGCCTGCTGTGCTGTGAGGCGTCGGTCGGTGCAGCCGTTCACCGTTGTCGTCCGCGCTCCGCACAGTGTCTCGTCGCTCGGTGGCCCCTATGAGTGAGTGCGAGAGAGACGGGTACACTGGTAAAACAAAGGCATAAAAATTACGCCCTTTAGGGCATAAATACTCTTTTACGCCCTTGCAGGCATAAATCGTTTATGCCTTGGAAGGGCGTAAATGGTATAGGAATTTCAAGCAAAATTTTAATGCCCTTCCCAAAGGCATTAACGATTTATGCCCTTTAAGGGCGTAAATCGTTTACGCCCTTTAAGGGCATAATTTTTATGCCTTTGTTTCACCAGTGTAGAGCCCGGAGAAAGGCAGAGGAAGGGGCGTTGGGGTCCCCCACAGTGCAGTGACTGGGCAGCGAAGGCGACATCGGCATTGTCCGTCGCGACAGTCTGAGTCTGACGGAGACCGTCGCCGCCCGGCGGCGTCAGCGTCCTGTCCCTTGACGAGCTTGACGAGGACGCGGAGGCACGCGTTGGCGGCGCTCCCAGCAGGCTGATTCCCAGCACTGGTCTCGTCGCGCCGTCTCTCTCGCACTCATGGGGGCGTCCCGTAAGGGTGCGAGAGAGACAGCCACAAAAGCAGTGCCGGGCAGTGCGCACTTGGTATGCACGCGCCGTGTGTCTACCCGCCAGTCACCGGCCCAGCGCCCGGCACCTCACTCGAGGAATACCCAGCCGTCGCCCAGGCCCTAGGCCGGCCCAGCGCTCCTAACACCCCGAGCACCCACAGAGCCTGAACAGCAGATTGATTCCGAGAGTCCTTTTCGTCGCTCTGTCTCTCTCGCACTCATGGGGCGTCCCGTAGAGGTGCGAGAGGGACAGCTCGACGAGAACGAGAACCACTCTGAGAATCAGTCCACAGTGAAACCGGCGTCGCCCGGCCCGGCCCGCCTCGCGTCGCGTCTGGATTCTGCCGGCTGATTCCGAGCACTGCTTGTCACTCTGTCTCTCTCGCACCCTTGCCGGACGCCGCATGAGTGCGAGAGAGACAGAGCGACAAGCAGTGCTCAGCCTGCTGGCTATGGATTCTGGATGCGTCGACGCGATGCGTCTGGAGTCTGGAGCCTGGCCGTGGCGGCGCACTCTGGCACGACGCCAGCCGAGCGGGCTGCAGGCAGGGCTACCGCCTCATCCCAAAGGATCGTCTCGTCGCTGTCTCTCTCGCGCCCGTACGGCGCGCTCCAGCAGAGCGACGGAGACAGAGCGACGAAACCGCGGCAGCGCGGCAGGCGTGGGCGCCGTGGGCCTTCCACCGGTCTGGCGGCGAGCGCGGGGAAGCCCAGCAGCCAAAGTGACGCGACGGAGTCGCGGAGCCGATGTGGTTGTGCCCAAACAGAGCAGCAAGCAGCAGACCGATTCCGAGGGGCGGCGGGTCTCTCTCTCGCACTCATTGGGCGCTCCGTACCGGTGCGAGAGAGACAGAGACAGCCCGACGGCCGCACTGTGCGGTATCAGTCTACAGGGCGTGCGGCGTCTCGCGGTCGGTGCCGCCACAAAGTACTTGCACACTTCTCAGCCTCTCGGCGCGGCAATCGCGACGACGGCCACCGTGCGGTGCGGTGTTCGTGTACACGGTACACGTACTGGTACACCGGTAAGCCGCAGCCAGCCGCAGACGGGCGGCGGCCGCTGCGACGAGTGTGGCACTACGTACTGTCGGCAGTTTGTCAGTCACTCCAATCGGCCGCAGCTTCTTCGCGCCGCCTCAGCAGACTGATCCCCAGAGTCGTTTTCGTCGCTCTGTCTCTCTCGCAGCACAAAGGCGGAGCGACGAAAACGTCTCTCATTGCGCCGCAGTGCCGATCGCTGTCATCGCCGCCGAAGTGCGTCCGCGCTGCCAGGCGCTGCCAGGCGCTGCCAGGCGCTGCCGAGCCCCACCGCCAAAGGCACGCGCGGCACGCGTACGCACGCGCCGCGGTTCCGAGAAGGTGGTGAGCACGCCCGCGAGGTTGCGCGGACAGTCGCGCATCGCGAGGAAGAAAACAGAAACACAAAGAAACCATCAACACCACGAGGGCGGAAAAAAGAACTAGGGTTTGTGTTGAAATACTAATAAAGGCGTTGCACCGCGTTACCACTAACTCAGACGCTTTTCCCTGAGGTCACCAGGAAAAACAAAACGAAACAAGCTGGAAATGTGCTCATTTTTTTTGGGGGGGGGGGAAGGGTTAGATTTAACTTAATTGACGCGAAAGTCGGGAAGATCGATTCTCCGATTCTCCAAACATTTCTGCTCGGCGAACTGAACTCAGAATAATCACGGCGCAAGTGAACACTCCAGTACACACTTTCGCGCTCAACGTGTGTGCTCAGTGTACACACTAAAAAGTGCTCAAAGTGTATACTCAGTATACAATTAAGTTTCTGGTGCGTGTGGTTCAATTGGTCGAGCGACACGACTCGGACTTCCCCGATGGACTCTGAGAGGTTGTCGGCCCGCGACGGTGTCGCAGCGCGTGTCGCAGTGTCTCGGTGCCTTGGCCTGGCTTTGGCCTGGCTTGGCCTGCCGTCTGATTCCGAACACTGCTTCGTCGCTCCGTCTCTCTCACACCCCTACGGAACGCCCCATGAGTGCGAGAGAGACAGAGCGACGAAGCAGTGCTCGGAATCAGCCGGCTGGCTTGGCCTGGCTTGGCCTGGCTTGGCCTGGCTTACTCACGTATCGGGTGATGGGGTCGAAGTCGTGCACGTCGTGCACGTGCTCGCCGGGGAAGACGATGTCCCTGCGCTCCCTGCGGCCCGCTGGCCCCGCTTGCCCCGACGCAGCCGAGGCGCACCCTTGGCCCTGGAAGCCGCAGGCCGAGGCGAGGGCCGCGCAGGACAGCACGGCGGCCAGGGCCAGCAGGGCCTGCAGGGCGGCGAGCCGGTCCATGGAGTCGCCCAGTCGGCAGTGCAGTGGCGGCGCACTGGCAGTCACGGCGGTGCGAGTCGGATCGCAAGGCGAACGGGCGTGACGGTGTGGCGGTGTGACGGCGTGACGATGTGACGGCGTCCTCCCTCGGCCAGGTCCGAGTCGCAACTACACTACACTGCCGTGCCGTGAGTGAGTGAGTGCCGCGAGAGCGGCGCGGGGCGGCGCGGGGCCGGGGGGCTCAGCTGGCGGGCGGGGCGTGGGGCGTGGGGCGCCCCCTCGGCCGGCCCCCTCTCAGACTCGCAGACCACTCACCTCTGGCTCTGGCCGGTCGTCTGCAGACCGATTTCGAGAGTCGTTTTCGTCGCTCTGTCTCTCTCGCACCCACACGGGACGCCCCATGAGTGCGAGAGAGACAGAGCGACGAAAACGACTCTCGGAATCGGTCTGCTGGCTGTCTACGTCGCATGGAGGCATGTCTGGGACCCCATTGCTGTGGCTGGCGGTGTTTCTCGCCTTTGGGCATGGAAAAGGACCATAGTCGTTCAAGTCGTTAGGCGTTCAAAAGTTTGATTTCACTATCCCTTGGATCGTACTAACTAACGATACGATCTGCAGACTGATTCCGAAAGTCGTTTTCGTCGCTCTGTCTCTCTCGCACTCATGGCGCGTCCTGTGTAGGTGCGAGACAGACAGAGCGAAGAAAACCAATCTCGGAATCAGTCTGCTGTAATTGTGAGCTTCCCTCTCCGGCACAGCTCGTTAAGCATGCTACCGGTGTAGCAGCTTGCTCGCTTGCACCCTGCAGCACGCGCCGTAAGGCCTGCGATAATCTTGGAAGGATTCCACCACGGGAGTCGAGTCGCGCCCACGACCAGCAGCGCGCAGCGCGAACCAACCAAAATGTCCCGCGTCCCGCTCGGCGGGGCCGACTGTCGTCTGTCTCCACCCGCTGCGAGTCGTTTCGAACTCTTGCCGGAAGGCGGTGCTCCATTCAAAACAGTTGAAGGCGACCAGATTCGCTGCGCGTGAGTTCTTCGGCGAAATTTCTTTGGTTACCTGAATCAACAACCATGTCGTCCACCCTCGCAACTCCGTTGACCCTTATGGGCTCCAGGCAATCAGGACAGCCCATAAGAACTCAAAATGGTAAATTTTCTTCATCTTAGTTCAATTAATGTGCTTGTTTTCGTGCAAGTTTCCTTGCGTCATTGCTTATTTCCCAAATGTCGTACCACGCGGTGTGAGCAGAAGCCTCCCTCCAGTGCAATAGATTTGATGTTAATTGTGTTAATTGTTGTTTGTAGAGTCCGATTTGCCTACTTCAGGCGATAAAAGTCTTGTCGCTTGCATTTGGCCCTGCTGTTTATTCATTTTTCTGTTTCAACTCTTAATGACTAAGTACCGGCGCTGGGGCCCCTCCATAAATTGCTATGGAATTTGTGTATTTTCGAGTATTTTCGGCGACGTGGATTCGATTTTTTAACCCCAATATAACTCATTTCATTTTTGTCTTATAAGTTTAATTCTTTACCATGAACTTGGGAGTTTGACAGCTCTTCCCTTTGTTACAACCCTGGGGCTCCTCTAACCCTAATTTTATAGCAATATTATCTTGAGGTGTGTCTTGTCACTCGGTGAAATGTTAATTAATTTACTTTTTAACGAAACAATCACTTTGTCTTTGACTTGGTTGGTCTATCATCCCTGAATGTGTTTGTGTGTTCATTTTTAACTTTTTTGTTGCTTTCCAGTTCTGGCAGCTGCGTCCATTGCGAACATTGTCAAGAGCTCTCTTGGCCCAGTGGGACTGGACAAGATGCTTGTGGACGACATTGGGGTAAGTAATTTTTGAAGTGCAGGTGTTTCCGTTTGTTTGTTAAAGCCATATCTTTTAACAATAGCTATCTTTTGAGTGCCCCTAACTGGAGTTAATTTTTATATTCCAGGATGTCACAGTAACCAATGATGGCGCCACTATTCTCCGTCTCCTTGAAGTGGAACATCCTGCTGCTCGTGTTCTTGTTGAATTAGCTCAGTTACAGGATGATGAAGTTGGTGATGGAACTACCTCAGTTGTAAGTAGTAGCTTTGGAGTGATGAAATGTTTCTTTATGGAGGTCACAAATTTGGAATTGATTTAAATGCCTTCTCTTTGCAGGTTATAATTGCTGCCGAGCTACTGAAGAATGCTGACGAGCTTGTAAAGCAAAAAATCCATCCCACTTCTATTATTAGTGGCTACCGTCTGGCTTGCAAGTGAGTTTGATGACTTGGTACTTTTTGACTGCCTAAGAACCAGCCTTGTTATTAATTTTTTCAATGATTTCTAGGGAAGCATGCAAGTACATTCAGGAACATTTGACTGTGTCAGTTGAAGAACTTGGCCGTGACTGCTTAATCAACACTGCCAAAACTTCAATGTCAAGCAAACTTATTGGAGCTGACTCTGACTTCTTTGCCAACATGGTTGTTGATGCAGCACAAGCTGTCAAAATTACTGACTCCAAAGGAAACTCACTGTATCCTATCAAGGCTGTTAATGTTCTGAAGGCTCATGGCCGAAGTGCTAGGGAGAGTGTCCTTATCCAGGGTTATGCTCTAAACTGCACAGTCGCTTCTCAAGGTGAATTAACAAACATTCATGTAAAGAGTTGCTCTTCAGTGGGCTTCGTCACTGACTGTTGTTATATTGTTTCAGCCATGCCCAAGAAGATCTTGAATGCAAAGATTGCTTGTCTAGATTTCTCCCTCCAGAAGACCAAAATGAAATTGGGAGTCCAGGTATGTTTTTAATTAATTTTTTACCATTTTGTTAAAATCCTTTGTTTGTCTTACTATTTTGATTTTCCCGCAGGTTTTGGTGACAGACCCTGAGAAATTAGAGGCTATTCGGGATCGTGAAGCTGATATTACTAAGGAACGGGTGCAGAAGCTTTTGGCAGCTGGTGCTAATGTTATCCTGTGCTCTGGTGGTATTGATGATCTCTGCCTGAAGGTATGCTCAGTTTATCTTTGGTCTTTGTAAAAATAAGAAATTATGAGATAACTGCAACATAAAATATTTTTTTCTTCAGTACTTTGTTGAAGCTGGTGCTATGGCTGTTCGGCGAGTTAAGAAGTCAGATCTTAAAAGGATAGCTAAAGCAACAGGGGCTCAATTCCTCACATCCCTCACTAACATGGAAGGTTGGTATACAGTGAACGATTTTGCGGATTTATTCTATATTTTTCATTATTTATGGAAATGTAATGAGAGCTCCTTTCTTCCCCCTTTAGGTGAAGAGAGCTTTGAAGCAAGTTCTATTGGTGAGGCTGCTGAAGTTGTTCAGGATACAGTTTGTGATGATGAGCTTATCCTCATCAAGGGGTGAGTTCAATGGGATCATTTGCTCAGAATGAATTCCGGTGAGGTTTCTAAATAAATTGTGTTGTTATTGTGTTCCAGACCTAAGGCAAGAACAGCCAGTTCAATTATTCTCCGTGGCCCCAATGACTTCTACTGTGATGAAATGGAGAGGTCTATTCATGACTCCCTGTGCGTTGTGAAGAGGGTTTTGGAGAGCAAGTCAGTTGTTGCTGGTGGTGGAGCTGTAGAGGCTGCCCTATCTATTTATTTAGAAAACTTTGCTACTTCTTTGGTATGTTTATTAATATCTTCAAATTACAAATTTTTTTTCTTATGGAATGTTAATATGATTTAATTGATGTAATTTTATTTTTTGTGCAGAGTTCTCGGGAACAGCTGGCTATTGCCGAATTCGCTAGGTCACTTCTGGTAATTCCCAAGACACTGTCAGTCAATGCTGCCCAAGATGCTACTGACCTTGTTGCCAAACTGCGTTCTTACCACAATTCATCCCAAACTAAGGCTCACCATGTTGAACTGAAGTGGTATGTTTATGATTTCAAGTTGAAGTTAACTGAGCCATGTGTCCAGTAGTTTTGGACATTGCATTTCATGTTTATTTCATATCTTCTAGGATTGGCCTTGACCTCACTGAGGGGCAAGTGAGGGACAACCGTAAGGCTGGTGTTTTGGAGCCTGCTATTTCTAAAATCAAGTCTCTCAAATTTGCTACCGAAGCTGCCATCACCATTCTGCGTATTGATGACATGATTAAGCTTGAACCATCACCGAAAGAACAACAATCATACAGACAGGCGTATGAAGCCGGTGAACTCTAAATGTAATAACCAACTTATTTGTTGAAACACCCAGTGCATTATTTTCCTTCTATTTATACAAGCAGTGATGACCAATGTTTATATTTGATACTCAATTCATTGGTTTCTATTATTAAGTGCCTTGCAAAGATGTTATTTCTGTGTCAACTTTTCACTACTTAACATAGATTAATTCAACAAACGCTTTTATTCGCAACACCATTAACTTGTTATTTGCTGTCATTCATTCTTTTGCATTTAAATTAAACTTACTATAAACCTATCACACTCTTCTTTGTTACCTTGATCCCTTTCCAATCGCCACTTCCCTCATAAAGAAAGGATTGAGAAACTAGTGTAAATAAGTCCACAGTTCAATCCTGTGGGAAACACTGAAAATTTAAGTGTGCACTCTGTACACACAACGTATTGTGTACACACTGAAATTTTCAGTGCTCAGCTGTCGACTCCCGATTTATTGGTGATAAACACTCAGGAAAGCTAAGTTTGTCAGTGTTGACGGAATAAACATACTGTCGCTGTACCCGCTTTCCAACTCGGGCCCACTGGTCCGTAGGGGGGGCGTGGCGCCTCTGTGCCTTGGCAGTGCACACTCGCGGCCGCGAGCCAGATCTGACTCGGTGCGCATGGATGTGCGGAGGTGGAGGGGGAGACTGCGGGGGGGCCTTCGACCACACGGAGGTCAAGTCCGCCACCGCTAGGCGGTCCGAAGGAGGGTCCTACTCTCAGGCCCAGGACGGCGCCCCGCCCCGCCCGTAGACCACATGGCGCCCCGCCTCGCCTGCCTCGCCGGCCGGCGGAAGCTTGCTGGGGCGGGAGGTACAATGGGGGTGGAGGTGGGAGGCACGGGGGGTGGTTTTGCCGTTCTGCTCGGCCCGCGCAGGCGCGTTGCGGGGAGTGACTTAACCTGAACCCGCCGCCCCGTGCCGTGGTGCCGTGCCGTCCAGCAGTACAGTAGGGAGTAGAGCCGCCCGCCCCGCGCCTGTGCCCTGGCCGCCCTGGCGCCCCTGTCCGACGCAGTGGGCGAGACGGCGAGGCTCGGTGCGGCACGGCAGTGCGTGGATTAGCAAGGAGCCCGTCGACGCGTGCACCAGGGCACCTGGCCGACGGACAGCCGCCTTGCCCCGCCCCTACCCCCACAGACAGCGGGAGCCTCCGCAGCAGCCCTTGGAGGGCACAGTTCTGCAGCCAGGCGTGGGCCCTTCGCGGCGCGGTGCGCACCCTGGCCATGTGCGTCGACTCGGCCTCCACCTGACGGACACGCCGCCCCCGAGGGACCGACACCACCGCCACTTCCATTGGTGAGTACCAGAGCGCAGAGCGACACTAACCCCGTCCCCCGAACTTCCTCTTGGCCTTCGGGCCGAGTGCGGCAGGAGCGACGGCGCCAAGGCCGAGTCCCTGCGGCCTGCAGCCTGCAGCCCGCGGCCTGCCATGTGACAGTGCGCCGGCACGTCCCGGGGGCAGCATCCCGCCCCGCCGTGGACCTCATGGCAGTGACTTACTACCCCCCTCCCCTTTCCTCTTCCCCCAAACTGCGGTCGCGAATCGATGCCCCTCCTCGGGGCCCCTCCCTACAGTGTGCCGCTCTCGAGCACGGGCCAGCCAGTGCCGTGGACCCAACTTGGACCACATGCTTTGGCAGGGACGCCGTCGTGCACGTGCAGGCCGCGGTGCATCGGCTTGCCGCCGCCGCCAAGTACGGCGTGGCCGTGGCGGCGTGGCGGCGTGGCGCGCCGGGAAGCCGGCCGTGACGCAGCGCAGGGCGGGCTGGCGGGCTGGGTGCGCAGCGCCGTTGCGTCGGGCCAGGCGGCCAGGCGGCCAGGCGGGCCTCGGGGTGCAGAGGCGCTGAGCGCGCGGCGCGCCTTGCAGCCGATCAATAGGGGTGTCCTGCGGCCCACGGCCCACGGCCCGCCAGCCGCCCCCGCCGCCTCCCGCCCCAACCCTCCACCGAGGCCAGCCTTATCAGAATCAGCCCCCTCCCTCCCTGTGTGGCCAAGCGTACACCCGAGTTACTACCCGGTACTACCCGCGCTGCCCCAACCGCACCCGACCCCGACGAGTGGCCACAAGAGCAACCGAAGCCAGCGGGTTAGTGGCGGGCCACAGGCACAGATTTGAGGACAGGTCCGTTTTCCGGTTCCCGGTGGGCGCCACGTGGACGCCACTCTTGCATTCTGCATGTCCTTCCACGTTACCGATGCAGGGGCCTGGTAAACCGCCAACCGCCCGACGTGTGCGAAAGAATGAAAAAGCAACCCAATCGACTTTGAAAAATGAATTGACAGTCGCGCTGCACGCAGGAGATATCGACCGATCGTCTAAACGGATATTGCAAGTGTCTGCCAAGCGCCTGCCAGGTAGGCCACCTACGCGCCTCGCAAAGCACCGGGGTGGAGACGGTGGCCTACCCTGCCCCCCTTGCAGGCGGCGGGACTGAAGCGCCTGTCAGGTAGACCGCTTACACGCGTCGCAACTCACCGGTGTGGAGACGGTGGCCTTTACAGTGGACGTGCCGGACGCATTTAGCCTGTCCGCTCCGTCGCTCATATGCGGCCTCCACTCTGTCGCCACAAGCGGGGACGTGACATGCCCATTGCCCATCGCGGGACGTCGGAGCCGCGGAGCCGGAGGCAGCGTGCCCTTCCCCCGACAGCGCGGAGGGATGCCGAGGGATGCAGTCGGTTGGAAAGGGAAGCCGCGGCGGCGGTAGAGGCGGTTCAGTGTCAGACTGTCAAGACACCGATTACGTAACAAGGCAAAGTGTCTGCTGGCTGCTGTGCTGCAGGCTGCTGTGCTGCCTTGCTGTCTCGCTGCCGGTCGATGCGGCCCACACCTGGGCCATCCGTGACACGTGACATTTCCTTCCGGAAGCCAGCGAGCCGGCGAGGCAGCGAGGCACCAAATGAAAAACCAAGTAGTTCCTGTGCAGACTGATCCCGAGGGCCCTATTCGTCTCTCTCTCTCTCTCTCTCTCTCTCTCTCTCTCTCTCTCTCTCTCTCTCTCTCTCTCTCTCTCTCTCCCTCTCTCTCGCGCGCGCGACTCGTAAGGCAGGAAAGAGACAGAGCGACGAAAACGACTCTCGGAGTCGAACTTAGAAAGAGCGCGGCCCCGAGCGAGCAGCGCCGCGCGCCGCGCCCCCGACGCGAGTCTGGGTAGGCAACCAGTCCGGCGGCGCTGCGCGTTGGGCTGCCTGCACCGTCGGCGCTGGCGCGACTGCCTCGCCTTGCCCGCCTGGCCGCCCCAGGCAATCAGGCTACGCTAACGGTAGTCGTCTGGGAGTCCCAGTCTGGGCTTCCTTCCTGCCATCCCCTTCCGATATTTTCGCATCGGTCGTTACCGGTGGGCCGGTGGGCCGGTGGGGCTTCGCTTCAGGGGCTCGGCGAGGGGCGCCCCGGTCCCAGTCCCCACACTGCAAGGAGGAAAGGGACGTCCACTAGCCGCAGCTGCAGGCCTGACAAGGACTCGGATCTTGAAGGCCATGCCCATTTCCTTGGGTTTTATGTTGCTCATTACGGACATGTACTCACTAAATTTAAAAATCCAAGGCAATCGCCTCGCCTTTCCTCCCGAGGTTAGTTCCTATCGGTGTGATGCTTCGCGCTCCGACCCCTGGGGCTAGCAAGTGTGACAAGACTGGGCAGGCCGTTTGGGTGGTTGGGCTGCAATCGACATTTTATCAATATTCATTGACGTTTGTGCACATTACTCGAATTTCGTTATGAAGCTTAACAGATTTGTCAAGATGAAAGTGATGTTACTAAAAAAATGTCAATAAGCTTGTTAATGCGCACAAACGTTAATATGTTATTTAACAAAAATCAGTACGAGTCTGAGTGTGCTCGCGAGGCAGGCTCCAGGAGTTCCAGGTTGGCGGAGCCCGGGGCTGCCCGAGCCTACTCGAGGAGCCCCAGCCCCGCTCGGCGTCAGACAAGTCCCCCTGGCCTCTCTGTTCGTGTCTTCGTCTTCCCCCGCCGCCCCGCCGCCACGGGGCCGCGCGAACCGGCAAGAGGTGAAGATCCGACCAACCGTTGAGCAGGTCATGATCAGGAACCTCTCCAGGCCACGCCAGGCCACGCCAGTACCGGGTTGCCTCTCGGGCTCACCTGGCCGGCGAAGAGTACGGTGCAAACGCCGCGCCGGCCACGCCACGCCACGCCACGCCCGTCGCCGGGGTCCCGAACGCAGAGAGCGGGAAGGGGGAAAGGGGGAAGAGGGAGTGCCCTACTCTTCGCCTCGCCTCCCGCCGGAGCCGCCGCACTATGATCTAGAATCCCGAAAACGCGGAAAAAATTCCTACGGCCTTGAAATCTTACTCTAGTAGGTATTTTGGGTCGGGGAATCCGAATCTGACATAAGTTTTGAGCTATGGTGACATGCCTCTGAAAAAAACTGCAAAAAAAGCTTAAAAAGACTAAAAATTGAGAAAATATTGCTGTATAAGATAATCGAAGTCGGGTAAAGAGCTGCTGGCACTAGTTTCGAGGTCTGGGACCTTTAGTTTGTAAAAAGAAGAAGGGCTGTGCAAGAAATAACACAACGATGAAGCGGCTTTACTCTGCCATTCAATTTTTTTAATTAAATATTTGAATTGGCCAGCAATGGAAAAAGGTTACACCAATGCCCAACATGGAGAGCGTAAGTTTCATTTAATTACAAAAATGCCATTATTGCCAGCTGTAACTGTGACCAATACCCCGCTGAGGAATCTACTTCAGTCCGCCAGGCAATAATTGGAAAGTACTCACTTTAAAAATGTAATTTAACTAGTTTCAGAACGCGAAAGTTATTCTAAAAGGCACATGCCTTAATTTATTTTTGGAGTAAAACTGAGTTCTTCCTTTCCATTTTTTCTAAACTGCTTTTCTAAGAGTGAGAATAGTTCCGCATTTTCCTTGATACCTTACGTCATGTTGCGGAAAAGTTGCAGCAAGTCTCCATTTGCACCCTGCACACTCACTTCTGATGTCCCTGAGTTCATTTTCGGTTTCACGTTTCTCAATCTCGGCATTTTTCCGCCTATTTTCTGTGATTTTGAGCCCACTTCCGGTGATTTTGAGTTCACTTCCGGTATGAACTAAGAGTAAATATATGTCCTTGATAGCACTTTTGAAGCCCGTTCGTTCCATATATTTATGTGTCCATGTGTGAGAAAAAGCAGGCACGGACGGAATTTTGTCTTTAAAAAGCTTAA